CTTATAGTTTTATTTAAGAAATAAGATCTTACCATATGCACTACTCTGCAACACATTATTTTCACCTAACCTTGTATCTTTCACATCTTTCCATGTCTGTACATATGGATTTACCACATTTTTTTAAACTGCTGCACAATATTCCATTTAATGGATGTACCATAATTGATTTAACCAGTCATATAGTGATTGACATGTTTTTTTCCCAAAATTTTTGCTAGTAAAACAATGCTACAAACATCATCTTTGAACGTTTTGTGCACTTTGCCTATTTGTAAATTCCTACCTGTTGAAGAGCTAAGTAAATTATCTCCATGTTGCCCTCCAAAAACTTATTTCCACTAACACTAATACATTGCTGTTTCTACAAAAGCTTATTTCCAGTCTTTTTCATCTTTGCTAATAAGATAGGCCAGAAAAATCCCCTCATTGTTGTTTTAATTTGCACTTTGAAATGAAATGGCCATCTTTCACAGTGTACATTGGCCACTTACATTTCTTCTGATTTTCTTGTTCATATGCTCTACTCACTTTTCTATTGGGTTTAATATTTTTCTAATTGACCATTAAACAAATACTTCCATAAGTTTGTTTTTAGACTTAACTTCTGGTGGCTTTTTGGTTTGGTTTGGTTGAATTCTGCAGGCCATACAAAAGATTTTAAATTTGTAGAGTCAAAAGCATTAATCTTTTGCTTTCTGGCTTCTGGATCACATGACATATTTAGGAAAGTTTTTGCAATGCTAAGATTATAAATACATCCAACAATGCTTTCTTCTAGTACTTTTGTGACGTCATTTTTTAAGATTTAAATTTTGGACAATTTGGAATTTATTTTGGTGCTCAAAATGAACTTCGTTATTGTTCTTTTTGAATTACTAGAAAGTTGCCTGACACTAATCCATCTTTTCAGTGCTGATTTGAAATACCACCTTGACTATATAATAAATCCCTATAAATGTTTGGATCTTACTCTGAATTGTATTATGTTTTATCTGCCTGTAAGTTCCTGTTCAGTTCCATACTATTTTAATTACTATAGCTGTATACTATGTTATAATATCTGGTGGTGTTGAAGAGCTAATCCCCCTTATTATCATTAATTTTTAGAAATTTCCTGGCTAGTCTCACATATTTATTTTTCCAGTGGAACTTCAAAATCATTGTGTCACGTTAAAAAAAAAATCACCCATGATCCCACCACAGCTATCTTTTCAGGCTCCATTCCATCCATGTGCATGCTTGTTTTCACAATGTGTACACACAGTATTGTATTCTGCTTTCTCCTGTTTTCTGAAAGAAAAGTCTTCGTGATTAGGTTAGTGGTTGCATGATCTATTGCATGGTTATCCCATAATGATCTCAACTACTGCCTTCACGGGCATCTTTTCAATTTTTTGTCATCATAGATACTACTACAATTTATATATTTCTGCTTTTGCCATTAATTATTTTTTGCCGTAGGGCAGATTCTTAAGAGCAAGATACCTAGGAAAAGGGGATGAGACTAAAATGTTACGAGTCCTTGTCTAAGGCTCTTTCATACTCAGCAGGACGACCAAAAATCTCCCAGCTGGAGGCAACGGAGATTCGAGCCCCGTCTGAGGTCGAGGATCCGGGCCTCTATCTGCGCCGCCGGTTTACTTTACCCCAGCGGACCTCGATTTTCCCTAAGACTGGCCCAGAGGCCCCGAGGACAGTTGGGCGAGGCCCTTGCCAGCTCCCCGGCCGCTGCAACACCCTGGCCGGCCCATCACCGTCGGAGCCCTTCTTACCTGAGGCCCAGTGACCACCATCTTCACCTGACGCCGCCCAGCATCCCCGCCAAGTATCCAAGGCCCCTTAGCAACGGAGAGGCGAAGCGGCGCACCAGGTCGCCGTGGACCGCGGGGAGGATCTATCTGACGTGATGACGACAGAACGGAAGACGCCATTGCACCTTGACCGACAGGGGTGGTGTGGATAGGGGCGGGGCCAATGTGGGACCGTACCATTATATTGAATGAGGGGTGGATCCAAACAGAACGTGGATTAATTTAGGCCAAACATAAACCCATTTAATTTTCTCCTTTAATATCAAGTATTATTATTAAACACTGATAAAAATGGTAGGTCCCAAGGGCCCAAGCTTCGCTCCATCCCGAGGGAGGAGCATAGTGAAAGCTTCCGGCAGGGGGGTGGGGAACGCCGCGGCCTCGACCCCGTGAGCGCAGGCGCGGAGCGGCAGGGCCGGCGGAGGGCAGGGGCTGGGGCTTCGCCGCTGACCCTAGGGCGGCGGGGAGTGTAGGGCACGCGGGACTGGCGGCTGGGTGCGTGATGTGGGAGGGCTTGGGCGCTCTGGGAGGCCAGGAAGGCTTCCTGGAGGAGGGAGGGCAGGTTTAGTGGTGAGGATGGTAACAAGTGAGAGTTCTTTGTCTTTGATTAGCTCCGCGTGTCTGAGAGCCACAGTGCCAGGCCCAGGACATGGCGGTGAACCTGCCTTTTAGGCGTCCCCAGGTGGGGAGTTACACCTGGCCAGATCCTAGAAAAAAGTAAAAATATAAACTGTGTGAAGAGAGCTGTGAGGGGCAGGAGGTGGGGAGAAAGGCGCCCCCAATGAGCAAAGATGCGAAAGAAGTGTGGTATTCATTAAGGCAAGGGCTGGGGAAGGGCGTTCAGGGCAGAAGGAACTGCTTATGCGAAATAGCCCGCCGTGAAAATGAGAAACCAGGCGCCGGTGACCACAAACGGGCCACCCTTCTCAGAGGGGAGCGCTCCGTGCCTGCCCTGAGAGAGTGTGGACTTTTGGGCAACGCTGCCGTCTGGCTGAGTCAAACCCTGGAGAGCAGAGACATCTGACGGTCTTGGTTTACATTTATATTTGTTACCATCTTCAACATGTATAGAGTAGTAGGAGTTTTAGGATCTCAAAATGCACACACAACTCTTGTTGCCTTTTCACAACTGCTGTCACTGCAAAGTTAAAAAGTGGGGGATGATGGTGAATTCTCTTCCTAGGGAGGCTGTATTTTGGTGCAAAATTGGATGAATAGCATCTGCAGTTAGGGATAAAAATGGAAGTGATGTATTCCCACTGGAGAGAGAGTAGGCTGTGCCACCTGAGGGTTGGGACTGGTCTTGGGATCCTTCTGCCTGATGTGCAGTCAGTGTTTGCTAGAAGACCAAGAGTACCTGCCCAGAGCACTTCTCCCGCTGTTGGAGGCAGTAGAAAGAGCAAGAGTTTTAAAATCAGCTGCCACCAAGTTCATTTCCTGGCTGTGCCATGTACCAGCTGGGTGACCTTGGGCAAGTTGCTTAATATCTCTGAGGGAACGTTTCTTATCTGTAAAGTGAGGTTAATAATTTCTAAATGCTGGCTTACTGTGAGGATTGTAGATAATGAGTATAAAACTCAGAATGTGCTCAGTAGACATAGGCATAGCATGATCAATTCAATAGCATGATTTTTCGTCATTTTTATTTTCTATCCTAGTGAAAATGTTGTGATCTTACAGTCTTCAAACAGGTAGAACCACTTTGTGTTTCACAATCCATAGCAAATTGTGTACTTTTAACAATATTATTACGTTTCTGACAATTACACTCTCCTGCTTTTTGTTTTGGGAAGTTGGGGGAATTTTGGCCTCTCCCTCATCATGGCCCACATTTGTCAATTAACAGACAGATTGTTTCTGTCCGAGTTCTCAGCACATGCCGAACGGTAACAGTAGCTCTTCCTGACCCAGCTTCCATCTCCAGTAGGTCAGTGTCAGTGTTGTTGGTGTGTTTGCCATGGTCTTCCAGCTTCATCCTCTATAATTCCTGGGGCAGGGGCTGGTAAACAAAAATGGGGGGAAAGAGTGGCACTGAGTTAAGAGGAAAAGGCAATAAAATCCCTAGCACACACTGATGTTAAGAAAGTTCCCCTCTTGTCCACAAACCTGAAAGCTGATAAGACCACCCTGAAGTAGGTGAGGAACCACAGGTTTGTGAAAAAGAAACCACTTTTCCCTGAAATAAGGCAGCATGATCCATCCTACAAGGGCAGGGTGTCCTGAATTCACGAGGTGTTCTGTGCACACATTCTGTCCAGTCAGAATCACTTTTAGAAATGACTAATCTTGAACACATGGACCTCCATAGGTGGCCAGGAAGCTCTGGTCACCAAGCCTGCACCAGCCTCCAGCCCTGTTTAAGGCCTGAGCTCCCCATGGCCTTAGACCTGCCAAACATACTAGGGCATGTGAGGTGGAGCACAGCATGAATGTGGCAGCCAGGCTCCGACCATGAGTGTCCCGTTGAATGTCTTCTCTTCAAGATCCCATTTCCCACCACCTAGCTTTTTCCAGCCAATTCATGACTTGGCTCTCATTAGATTTTTTTTTTGGTGAGGAAGATTTGCCATGAACTAACATCTCTTGCCGATCTTCCTCTTTTTGTAGGTGAACTGCCACCACAGCATGGCCACTAACAGACGAGTAGCTCAGGTCCACACTCAGGAACCGAACCCCGGGCTGCTGAAGCGGACAACACCGAACTTAACCACTAGGCCACTGGGGCTGGCCTTCCTTAGATATTTTGACAGTCATTCTGCTTGCACCTAACAGCCAGAGTGAGGGGCAGACCAGCATAAATGTTACATGTGAGAGTTTCTATGGCTCCAGTTCCCAGTTCTGGCCTTTATTAGCTATGTGACCTTCAGACAAGAAACAACTTCTGTGACCTCGTAAAAAGGCAATAGTAATAGTTCCATAGCTACCACAGGAAAGAGAGCTCCCAGTCTCTCCCTTGAGTCAACATCTGGCACAGGTGCATCTTTGGACCACATCCCTGGCCCTAGCTGCAGGGGAGGCTGGGAAAGTCAGTATCTAGCATTTCCAGCTCCAGTGTAAGTGGAGGTAGTTATTGCCCTTCATCAAGGCTCATAAATTAGGAGAGTCCCTGAATATAGGACGGGGTTCAGATATCAGGCTGACAAACCTAATAACAAAAGTCCAGTACCACCCACAACAAAGACACCATCAACATAGAAAAATAAGAGGCTGTTGGGTGATACCCTATAAGCTTGTTACGTGTCTGTCATTTTACACAGTGAGATAAAAATCCAGGCACCAAGAGGCCCTCTGGGAAAGAGGTGCTGGTTGTCTACCCCACATTTTCCCCTTCTCCTTTAGTGTCAGAACCCCTGTGTTATCAGGCACAGGTAGTAATGTGCCCAGCTAATAAGACACATATCCCAGCCTCCATACAGTAGGGTGGGTGGCTAGCAAGATGGAAGAAGTCACTGGGTGGGGCTTCTGGGGGAGCTCTATAAAGGTGCCCTTTTGCCTCCTTTCCTCCTTTTTCCTTGCCCAGGACACAGAAGCAGTGGCTAGAGCTCCAGTAACCATCTTGTGATAATGTAGCAATCCTAATATTGGAAGCCATTTGCCAAGGATGGCAGAGCAGAAATACAGAAAGCCTCTGAGTATCTGATGACCTGTCATACGAGCCATGGACACTAACACCATTCTTCTTTTATGTGCTGGGAAAAAATAATCTTGTGTAAGCCATTGTTACTTTGAGTCTCTGTTACTAGCGGCTGAAGGTAATTGTTACGGATACCGGCCGTGTTCACTGGTTTCGAAGGTGCTTCCTTCTAGCAATCCAAGATGGCATCATCCTCTGGTGCATAGGAAAATCCCAGGAATGCACTTGAGGCCCCAGAGCTGCTGGCCATCGTGTCGGGAGTGCAGCCAATGGATGTTGACACAGCTTCCTGGGTGAACTCTGGGTCAAAGTGTTTCAAGTCAGCAGGTCCTGCCTGTGAATGTAAGCCAACGATAAGAAGGGAACACTGAGGTCGGAGCTGCCAAAGGAACCCACAAGCCCCAAGAGGGATGTTAGGCCTCCCCTCTGAGTGGCTCGTGGACACCCTTACTTAACTGTCACTCACTCATGCATTCACATTAGTCATTTTATTCCGCAAGGTCCTCTAACCACATTTCAATTCCTCTAACCCCCTCACACCCTGCAGCTCCACACCAACCCTCAGACAAGTCAAGCCAACATACACTGACTGACTGCCTACCAGGTACTGTTTCATGGCACTAAAAATACAGAAGAACAAAATAGAGTGGGCCTCTGCTTTCACGGAGCTTACATTATGCAGGAGTAGGAGGGTTAATAATAAGCATGTACACAAATAGACAATTTCAGGTGTTGATAGGTCTTATGACGAAGATAAAATAGGGTAATATGGTAGATAGTGACTGGGCTTTAGTTATTTGGGGGAAGACCTGTGTGGGAGACTGCAGAAATGGTGACAGATTCTCTGTTTCCCATCCAGCGGTGGAGTCTATTTCTTCATGCCTTTAATATGGGTTAGCCATGGGACTTGCACAGGCCAATGGGACGTTACCAGATGTGACGCAAGCAGAGGTTTGAAAAACGCACACTGGGAGTTCTTTCCTGCTGCACCTGGAACCCTCAGGCCACCATGGGAACAAGCCCAGGCTTGCCTGCTGGAGTAGGAGAGGCCTCATGAAGGAGCCCCCAGCTGCCCCAGCTGCTGGCCGACTGCCAGTCTGTGAGTGAGGCAATTCTAGATCATGAACTGCCAGCTGACCTGCTAGCTGACCACTGACATGAGAGAGCCCAGCAGAGACCAGGTGGCCTGACCCAGCGGACCCAAAAAAACCACCCAGCTGACCCACAGAATTAAAACAAAAAAAAATTGTTGTTTTAAGCCACCTATTTTGGAAGTGGCTTGTTATGTAGCAAGAGCTAACTGATAAAAACCTCTCTGTGGCGGAGGCACAGTCTGTGGAGAAGGCTGGGCCACCTGGGTTTTCTGAAGTAAACAGGTGAGCAAATGGAAGGGGCTGCAGATCTGCTTTAGTATGCAAGCCTTAGGCTGTGGAACCAAACAGACTGTCTTTCCAGCTTCTCAAAAAGGCCACAGGGCACAGTGGTCCCAGCCCAGAGCTCAGAGTTTCAAGACCAGAATGTGAATCCTGGCCCTGGCCCTTGTTAGCTGTGTGGCCCTAGACAAGGCAGGTATTTTCTGCTTTTTACAAATGAAGACATTGATGCTACAGAAACTTATTCAAGGCCTCACAAGTGGTAGGTGACAGACCCAGGAAGGCACCCCCAGTCTGTCTCACTCTAAAATCCAGGCCTTGCCAGGCATTGCATTCTATTACCTCTCTGTCTAGTATTTTTTGTATTAATCTCTCTCCAGGGTGTATGTTGAGTATTATCCTCAGGGTCTTTTTAAAATCCCCAGATAAAGAAACTTTTCAGGTGCCAAGACTGAGTGTATCCTATCTGACAACTGTTGTCAAGAATCTGGTGCTCAAAGACACGTCTTGAACAGGTAATTCACCAGAGGAAAGATGTAAACAGCGAGTTAACATGGTCAGTGTTTAGGGGTGCAGACTACTTGGATGGAGGGGGCTTGACATGGCTTGACACTTCACAGGTGGCCAAGAGAAATTCCAATGTCCACTTCAAATGGGAACCCCTTTCACTCATACTACCACGGCTAATGAACATTTACAAACTAACCAGCTTCACTATAAATCAAAGAAATATAAATTAAAACAAAACAAGATGCCATTTTTTACTTAAATTTGCAAAGTAAAAAAACAGTAACAACCTCAGATGCTGCAGAGAGTAAGATGAGAACTCTCCAGCAGACACTGCTGGTGGGAAGTAGGCTGTGCTCCCTAACACACAGTTAAGGCAATCTGAATCAAGAACCTGAAATAGTCTGAATCAAGAACCTAAAAATGTCCACACTCTTTGACCTGGTAATTCCCCATCTGGAATCCATCTTAAGGAAATAATCAGAACTCTGGGCAAAGATACACACTTAAAGATGTTCATCAGTAAATTATGATAAAGAAAAATTGGTAATAACCTAGAGTTCACCATTAGGAACATGGTTGAATAAATTATGTTACCAACATAGGATTTAAATGTTATGCAGCCATCTAAAATGATACTTATAAAGTTTTATATGACTTGGGGAAATAATGACATAGCTTTTAGCCAAAAAAAAAAAAAAAAGAGGGGGAGAAGATATCTATAAAGTATGACCTATGTAAAAAACACATAGAAAAAAGACTGGAGGGAAACATGCCAGGGATGGTTTCTCTTGGGTAGTGAGATAATAAGCTTTTTCTCCCTGCTGCTTTAAATTTCTCTGTTTTACACACTTTCTACAATGAATACATGTCATTTTTATTATCAGGAAAAAAAGTAAACATAGGAAAAAATAAAGATATATTTACAGGGCTTGGCTCTGTCCGGGTGTGCTACGTGACACAGAGCACTTTAAAGACTGTAAAGGGCTCTGCAATTAGGGTTATTGGTGCTAAAAATAAAGGCATGGCAGCTGGGTTCATCACACAGAGCTGAACTGGCAGTCACGACTTCTGGGTTCTAGACCCAGTTCTGTCTCTAACTTACTGTGTGGCCTTGGAAAAATCATTGAGCCTCTTGGACCCTCAGTTTTCCCTTCTGTAGAAAGGGAGTTGGCCCAGAGACTCTCCAAGCTCCCACCAGCCCTGGGAATCCAGAATCTAGGACCCGGTGACCTCTTACCACATTTGGGTTGAAGGGTGGAGTCAGCCTCTTATGGTACAAGTCATCCCAGTTTATGGGGCTGAAGAAAACATGAGCCTTTATCTCCAGCTGCAGGAAGAAGGCGCTGATTAGCAGTGGCCCTCTCCATAGGCGCTCCCACCCCAGCCCCACACGACCCGGAGCTCCAACTCTGCTGGCAACTGGCTGTCAAGCCCTAAAACTTTTACTAGGAAAGTAACTTACAGTTCCCTCTGGTTTCCTGGGACAAACGAACATCTGCAGCCAGGCCTCTCCCCTTAGCCATGACGTAGAACCCAGGCCCTACTGCCCCCTAGCATGTGTTTATTCCACATCTATTTACTGAGCACCTACTCTGGGCCAGCACTGTGGTGAGCTTTGGAGGTATGTCAGTGAACCCGCCCCCAGGGGTCCCGAGGGATCTTGGGGACCCCTCCCCCCATTCTGCGTTAGTGCATCTTGACTCTTCCAGAATGCAAACCAGAGAAATAGACCAAATCAACTCACTGAGGAAGGTTTGAGAAATAAATCCCCAAGAAAACCTGCAGGTTCCCAGAAACCCATAGTTTAGGACTCAGCCCTGGGCATGATTCACCACTTCCCTCCTAATCAAAACCAATTTTGGCACCAACTTCCTCCTGTCCCAGCAGGATCCTCCCTCTCTCTGTGTTTCTCGAAGAATGATGCTCTTGGCTCCCTCGATCAGAACGCCCAAGGGCTTGTTAAAAAGCCAGATCCAAAATATCTTCAGAAGAATATCTAAGAAACTGTTAACACTGGTTGCCACTAAATTAAGGAACTGGGTGGCTGGAGGGACTTTTTCTGCATATCCTTTGAATTTTGATCTATGTGAATGTATACTTTATTTAAAAAATCACACATATTTTTTAAGATGCAAATTTCCCCTGGGAAGAAGGAGATCCGTCTTCTTGAAAGCCCTGTTCATTAAGCTGGCCAGGGATGGGCAGGCAAATGCCCTAAATGTTGTTACACTTCACAGTATCTGGCTGAGGTACACAGTAGGGCTGTTGGTACAAACACTTAAAAATCACTTACTATATGCCAGGCACTGGCCTAAGTACTTTACATACGTTAATTCATTTGATCTTCGTAACAACTACGAGCTAGATGCTGTTATTACAGATGGGGAAACTGAGGCTCACAGAGAGAAGTTAGTAATTTGCCCAAGGTCCTGGGACTAGTAAGTGGAGGAGAAGGGATCCGGACCTAGGTAGTCTGTTTCGTTGTCCATGCATCTCAACCACTACGCTGGAAGAGAAAACCGACTTCTAGGGAGAAAGGTACTGTGGTCTTTTTTTCGTAAATCCAAATTATCTTTTGTTGAGTAGAGAATGTAAGATTATTTTTAAAGCTACTTTAATAAAAAAAATACCATCAACTTGTTAAGGGAATGGACTGTGAAACAGTCATCTCTATATCCTGAGTGCCCAGCCTGGGCACAAGCAAGGAGAAAGTGCTCATATTTGTGAAATTTATGATATTTGTGAAAAGAAGTCCAGTCCAGTCCACTCTCTGCACAGAAGCCAGAAGAATTTCTTAAAACTTAAGTTGGGTTTTGCCACTCCCCTGCTCAAAATACCCTAAAGCGTACCACTCACTTTCTTGTTCCCACCGCAGGACTTTTGCACGTGCTATGCCCTGTGTCCAGGATGCCTCTGCCCAGCTCTCTGCAGTGGTTCCTTCTCATCCTTCAAGCCTCAGCTTAATTGTCACCTCCTCAGAGAGGACCTCTCTGATCACACCATTGTGAATTTGTCCCCTCCCCTCATTGTCTATCTCAGCTCATTGTTCATTTCTTTCCTGACACTTGTCACACTCTGTAATAATTGTTTGTAATGTTTGTTTGTTGTCTGCCCTCCCCCAGTAAACTTAACAAGGGCAGAGACCCAGTCTATTGAATCCCTAGCTCCTAGCTCAATGCCTGGCACATGGCAGGTGCCCAGTAAATACTGGTGGAATAAAAAGCTAGATGGAAGGGCCGGCCCAGTGGCATAGCGGTTAAGTTCACATGCTCTGCTTCGGCGGCATGGACCTATGCACCACTCATCAAGCCATGCTGAGGCGGCGTCCCACATAGAGCAACTAGAAGGGTGTACAATTATGACATACAACTATCTACTGGGGCTTTGGGGAGAAAAACAACAACTAAAAAGAACTAGACGGAAGGAAGTTAACACGCAGCAGCAGCTGTGAATTTCCAAATGAATGAATGAGCAGTGCCTGGCTTCAGAGGAAAGCTGGATGCACGTCACTGTGCTGAGCTGCCTCTGCAGAAAGCTGAGAGCCCCACGAGAGGCCAGTGCTCCACTGGCAGGTCACCTACAAAGTCTGCTTTGGAGCCCAGCCGCTGCCTCTGGTCCTTATGGAGAAGAGCTTGCAGGAGGTCGCAGGCGGCCACCGTCCGGCCCCCAGGGATCTGTAGCGGCTGGTGCAGAATGTTCTCATACATCTGGGACACGTCTTGGCTGTAGAAGGGCGGCTGGTAAGAGAGGGAGAGAAGCTGGAGGATCATCCATGCTAAGTGGGCACAGGTCTCAGGGAGACTTGCAGCAAAGCTGGGTAGCTAGAAGGATTCAGCCAGACCCATGTCTTGTGCAATGGCTCACATGGCAGACTGGAGAGAGACAGAGACCTCCAGGCTTCCAGCACAGTGGACAGGGCTGCTGGGAAGGCCAGAAGTTTCTCCCCCTCAATGTGAGGCTTGTGGACCTCCCAGGAGCATCCCCTATCCCGCCTCTCTTAATCCTGCTTGTGCATCAACTGTGCACTTTGCAAAGTTAACACTTCCCTCGTCATCATTTCATCCCAGCCTCACAACCGTCCTCTGAGACAGGTTGTAATTTTTCAGATGAGAAGACCGGGCTCAGAGAGATTCAGCCACAAAGCTAGGAAGAGAGCCAAGCCCCAAACCACAGCCAGAGTCCACGTCTCTCTCACGATCCTCCCCTTCCACCTCCTCTGCCAGCTCTGCCTTCTCCTGACGCCGCGGAGCCTGTTCCTTCATAGCCACCAAGCCATGCTGGTAAAGCCACTCCAGAGCAAAGCCTGGCCCTGTGGCGAGTCTACACCTGCGCCCATCTAACCAGGTGGCATGGGATTGGGCCCAGGGGCTGGTTCCACAACCTACCAGTACTGTGACCTTTCTGGGCCTCAGTTTCCCTCCCAGTAAAATAAGAACAACTTCCTTTCCTGTAGTGCCAGCCTCCAAACGCTGTTTTGAGGTACCAAAGGAATAATATATGAGATGGCGTGTTGTAAACCGTAAAGTGCTGAACTAACATTATTGAAAAAATATATATAAGCCTTGTGTTCAATTTGGCACCATGTTTTCTAGCTTAGACTGGAGAGATGGCTTGTTCAGTGTCCTCAGCAGAGCCTGAGCAGGCCACACCAAGGACAGATCCACCCCTATCTCTCCCCAGAGCCAGATGTCCCTTGCAGACAGCTACCCCACTCACCAGGCCGTGCAGCATCTCATAGAGAACTGCCCCCAAGCACCACCAGTCCACTGCCCGATCATAAGGCTCTTTACGAAGCACTTCTGGAGCCAAGTACTGTCGAGGAGAAACACAGTTACCTGAAAGACCCTCAGCCTCAGTTTCCCCATTTGTAAACAAAGCACTTGGAGGAAGAGATCTTCAGGGGTTGATCCTGCTGTGATATTCATTTGTCTATCCATGTGTTCATTCAACATCCATTCACCAAAGGCCTGCTTTGTGCAGGGCCCTTTGCCACTGTGCTGGGGACATATAGGAGATCAGGCAGGACTGCCTTGTATGGTTGTATATGTTGTACACTACACAAAAGGACCAGCCAAAGGGGTAATGGGTGCTGGCTGCAACCCACTCACCAAGCCATTACCCTAGTACACAGCTATATCTGGCAACTTTATTTGTGTTTAAAGGGGTAACTTTTTCTAATTAGTCTGCCCAGCGGGGTGCCTGTTTCTAATTTGCACAAAAGCATCCAGTCAGTGTCCTGGGAATTGGAAAGCCCTGGGAGTACTCACAGTGCAGTGGGGAGACTAATGGGTAAAGTGTAGGTAAATGTGGCATGTCCTTGTACTGGAAACCTTAGGAACAGAGGGATGGAGAAGAGTCAGGAAAGAGGAGGTGACACTTGAGTTCCCACTGACAGATGAATGCCTGCGACGTCTCTGTGCCTTGCACAAGGAGAGGACCCGAGGCAGAGCTGTGCTTTCTGCCAAACCCGAGGGCTTGGTGACCTCTTAGCCTGGTGTCCATGGACAAAGCCACTTTGAGAGATTGTGTGGGTCTGGGGAAGGGCTAGGAGATACACAGACCTGAGCCCTACTTGGTGTGTGGTTACAGACAGGTCATTTAACCTTGCAGAACCTTGGTTTCCTCATGTACAACATGGGGTGGCAGAACCCCCCCCGGGGGCTGTTTCAAGGATATGTGCTCATATATGTGTAATATAACATATGTGTAGGCCCTTAAACAATGGGAGCAAACGCGGTTACTCTTGTCTGTGTTCCTTGGCACCATGGCAGCGGCTGAGTCACGGAAGAGACGATGTGTTGGGGCCACGTGTCTCCTCCACGAGCCAGGGTGCCATATCCCCTGCTCCCCGCCCCTGGCAGTGTCCAAGGAGGGGATGGCTGGGCTGTGGGGCTTTGGGATGCCAGCCCTGTCCAGCGGACACCCTCCCATGCACAAACACAGGCAACGGCCCCTGCTCAGAGAGGTCATCTGCCCATCAGCTACCCTAAAACCAAACTGAGGAGGCTCGGCTGAGATCTGAGACCTAGGTTTCCAGGCATATGGAGAAAAACAGGCCAGCTCAAGTCCTGATCCATGCCAGGTCGGGAGGAGCTTCCCAGGCCTTCAGCCTCAGCCCCTTAGCCCCCACCCGGACATCTGTCCAAGCATCTGGGAACCCCTTCAGGTCCAAGGTCCAAGGGTCAACACTGGTGGGAGTCCAAGGAAAGGTTTTAGCCCCAAGGCTGCAGGAAGGCCTTGGCAGGACGGACAGATGTGTGAATTACTACTGAGACTCACAAATTTTAACCCTCCAGGCTCGTGGCTGGAGAGGGAATTGGAGCAGTGCTTTCCACTCGCAAGGCCTGATCTTAACTGTCAGGCCAGGCCCTCCTGCTGCACATGGACATTACCCCGTAGGGCAGCGCTGTCCAATACAATAGCCACTAGCCACATGCGGCCACGAACACTTGAAATGTGGCTGATCTGAGCTGAGATGAACTGTAAGTGTAAAATACACATGGGATTTCAAAGACTAAGAAAAAGAGAATAAAATATGTCTTTTACAATTGTATAAAATACAATTTGATAACAACTGCATGTTGATATGATAATATTTTGTGTATATGGGTTTAGATAAAATATATTATTAAGATTAGTTTCGCCTGTTTCTTTTTACATTTCAAATGTGGCTGCTGGGAAATTTTAAATTGCATGTATCGTTTGCATTTCTGTTTCTACATCTATTGGACAGCCCTGCCGCAGAGCTTCACCAGCAGCTGGCTGGGTCCCAACAGCCCCTAGAGCTGGTGCCCCTCATTATACAGACGAGGAAACCAAGGCTGAGCGCACAGCCAGCTGAGGGGAAGTGCTAGGGTGGAAGGAGTGAGCCTCTCAGGGGTAAACTGTGGCTCTAATGAGGAGCTGTGGCCTCAACCACTCAAGGCCTGGCCTCTCCTAGGACGTTTAGCTTACCTCGGGGGTGCCACAGAACGTGGACGTGGTCTCCTCAGGCTCTACACCTTCCTTGCAGAGGCCAAAATCCGTGAGCACCACATGTCCCTGCAGAGGAGGAGGGCAGGGGCAGAAAGGTGGTTTAAGATAAAAGTATGGCCAGGCTTAACCCCAAAGCCCAGATGCCACACCCCAGGGCAGTGGCTGTGGGGTCTGATGCTCCCAGCACAGGCTGGAGGCTCCACTCAGAGACCCAGGGCTTCTGGATGCCAGGAGCAGCACAGGGGCAAGGTGGGGAGACAGCATTCCACTGTCTGCTCCCAGCTCATCACAGACCCAGACCCATGCCCTACAACAGTGGCAGCTCCAGCATGTCCTTACTGGAAGGGCCTGGTGGCAGCAGTCCCCTAGACAGGGGGCTGGGGACCTAGAAAGCAACCACACCTTGTGGCAGCTGGGCGGGAAGGTGGCTGGTGGAGGTCGTGGAGTGAGTGGATACTGCGGGGCTCTGCCCAGACACCCTCTTTAGGGGCTGTCATGCCCATCCCCCCATGCTGGGACACTGCCTTCACCCAAAGTCATGCCCCCTCCCGAGGGGCAATCCCTAGCCCATGACTGGGTACCCCATTTCCTCAATTTGGAACAGTTCTAAAGAGCCATCCCAGCTCAGGCCCTCCCCACCCCTGTGAGGTCAGCCAAGGCCTCACTTGCAACTACAATGCAACCGAGCTTCCTCCTCTGCCCACTCCTGCCTCCTCACCCCCTGAAAGGCGGATCTCTTGAGAGCGGTCCCCAATAAACCTGCTGCACCCAACGCTCCATCTCAGTGTCTGTTTCCAGGGAACCTAGTCTAAGACATGGAGGGACTACAAGATCCACAAGCTTCCCCCTGGCTCCACCCCTGCCCCCCCAGACCTTGTCTACACACGCACACACAGACATGTACATGTACATATGGTGCACATATACGTGTGTGTACACATGCATGGGTACATGTGCACACACATACTTGAATGCATCTCTACCCGTATGCACGCATGTACAATGCATGCACACCCATGCACACTCACACACGGGCACACAGCATACACGTGCAGCCATGCACACATACATACACACAAACACACACATACACACACATCCCAACCTGGCAGTCCAAGAGAATGTTCTCTGGTTTCAGGTCCCTGCAGAAGACAAGAGAAAAGAACCCTGTAGTGTCTCAGCCACTTAGTGAGCGGAGGTGGGGACCTGGGCTCCCGGCAGGAGGACTGTTCTGGAGGCTCACAGAGATTAGAGGGAGAGCCCAGGGAGGATGGGCACTTGATCCTAGAAGGGAGGAGGCTCCCACCCTGCCCACCCGGGAGGGCCTCCTCCTCAGACAAAGGGCCTAGTTCACCAGGATTTCATCAAGATGTAGGGGTCCACACAACGCCTGGCTGTTGGGGCAGAAGGGCCTGGCCCGGCTCTGAGCCACAGGCGGGCCTCACCTGTAAATGATGTTGAGAGAGTGCAGGTAGCCGATGGCACTCGCCACCTCGGCGGCGTAGAACCGGGCACGGGGCTCCAGGAACCGGCGCTCCCGCTGCAGGTGGAGGAAGAGCTGGAGGGGAGCAGGCGAGTGAGTGGGCTTCCTGGGGCTCCAGCTCCTGGAGGGCAGGGCGGCGGGGAGCTGGCCAAGTCACCCCCTCTCAGCTGCAATGTACTCGGATAAAAAAGGGCACGCCGGGGCCGGCCCTGTGGCTTAGCGGTTAAGTGCGCGCGCTCCGCTGCTGGCGGCCTGGGTTCGGATCCCAGGCGTGCACCGACTCACCGCTTCTCCGGCCATGCTGAGGCCGTGTCCCATATACAGCAACTAGAAGGATGTGCAACTACGACATACAACTATCTACTGGGGCTTTGGGGGAAAAAAAGGAGGAGGATTGGCAATAGATGTTAGCTCAGAGCCGGTCTTCCTCAGCAAAAAGAGGAGGATTGGCACGGATGTTAGCTCAGGGCTGATCTTCCTCATAAAAAAAAAAAAAAAAGGGCACGCCGGCCCCCACCCCACAGAACAGTCGTGGGTGTCCAAAGGGTCTGCAGGACAGATGAATTAGCATGGACTGAGCACCTACTGAGTTCCACGCTCTAAGCCAGACCCTTTCACCTCTCATCTAGTTTCATCCTCCTGACTACCTTCAAGGGATCGAAATGATGCCAGTTTCCAGTAAGAGGAAACTGGGAGGGGTCAGAGCAGCCAGGTGACTCACCCAAGATCATGTAGCTTGTAATTGGCACAGCTGCAATTTCAATCTGAGTGGTTCAAAGACGTGTTTTTCCTCCAACCCAGGTGACAAGATTATTATGGCTGTCAAACTGAGCCCAGGTTAGACCTGCCCGTGGGCCAATTGCTTTGGTCTATTTTGCTGGCATGGAAAGCCCTTTACCTCTACCAGGCAACTTAGGGATACAGGCCAAAAGTCATGAGGTCACACAGGTTAAATCTGGGATCACTGAGGGAGGGGCCCCACCAGATTTTACCGTCGTGCCCAGAAAGACAGAGTGAAGTCCAGGAGGTAGCCTAGCTTATCCCAGCTGTGCTTCTGGGGCACCAGGTGGCCTCAGGTCTCCGTTTACCACAGTGACCAGTCACCCCACCCAGTGGTCTATGGTGTAAAACAGGGAGCCCTGGAAATCTCGACCACAGAGCTCCTGTAGCATCAACCTTTCCCAGATGCACCAAAGTGAGTCTGGGCAGCTTTGCGTGGCGAAGTCAAGAAATGATTACAGCCGGGAGTCAGACAGGCCCGCACTCAAATCCTGGCTCTACCAAGTACAGGCTGTGTGGCCTTGAGCCAGTGATTACCTTCTGAGCCTTGGTTTCTTCAGCTACAAATGGGTCTGTTGTAAGGATGAAATGAGATAATTCCAGAACCCTGTGCACAGGGGGCCTGTGGGATGGATAGCTCCCAGCTAAGAGCCGGCCCTGGGGAACCTCCCTGCGGGCCCACCCACCTCTCCCCCGTTGACATAGTCCAGAACAAAGTAGAGCTTCTCCGGCGTCTGGAAGGAGTAGCGCAGGCCCACGAGGAAGGGGTGCCGCACGTTCTTCAGAAGCACACTGCGCTCTGCCATGATGTGGCTTTGCTGTGGAGTCACAGACAAGGGCCCCTGTCACAGCCCACCGCAGCCCCTCATACCCTGGCTCAGCCCACATGGCCTCCTTGTGAGGGTTGCCCTACCCAGGACCTTCTCATGCTCCTGCTCAAACACCCACTATGGCTCCTTATTGCCCTCAGAGCCAGCCCAGGTTCCTTGCCTAGTATTCAGGGCTCTGCATGGTCAGCCTCAGCCCCAGCCAGTCCATGTGGGTGCAGCTCCAGCCCCTGGATCAGAAACTCCTGCCACCACCCCCCCAGGGTGATAGCAAAGCATATGTAATTACTGTGTAGATGAATCTCAAGGAAAATCTCTGAGGAGAGAAGCCATGCACCGCCACATTCGTGCCTTTGTTCATGCTGCTTCCCCTGCCTGGACCCTGCTTTCAGACCATCGGAATCCCACCTTCCAGGCCAGCTGCAAGGCTACCTCCTTCAGAAAGACCTCCCCTTCCCACCCCACGATGTCCTTGTTAACCTTACTTCCTCATCTGAGTCCTCTGACTTGATATTCAATCCTCACTCAGGGCCTGCTCTATCCTCCTCATGGGGCTGGTGTTAAAGAGACTTAAGTCAGCTGAAGTACCTAGAACTCCAGGATGACTCTGGCTTGAAGGGCCTTTGGAGAGTGTAAAGCGTGACCCCATATTGCACAGTTGGGAGGCTGGCACCTACACAGGGCAGAGGACTCGTCCACTACGGAGCCCTGAATTTCCCAGGGGAAGCAGAAGGCCCCCATGGGTGAGGCAGTTGGCCTGCCTTCCTTGAGAAGGCTCAGCACCCTGGGCACCACCTGCCCTCTGCTGTGACCCCCTTTGCACCCAGCCCCATGGACCCCTCAGACTTGGGACCCATCTTGGAAAGCCACCCCAGGCCGGGGGTTGAGAAGCGGGAGAGGAAACGCCCATGCCCTGGTACCTCTTTCTTCTTTAAGATGGACTTTTTCTGCAGCACCTTCACTGCGTAGAACGTGCCATCGGACTTGCGCTTGGCCAGCAGGACCTGAGCGGAAGCACAGTAGCAAGGCCCCGCAGGTGATTCCTCTAAGCTTTGGCTTTCTCGATGGCCCCCAGCCCCGGCCTGCGTCCATGATTCTGCAGGTTGTGAGCTCCCTCTTTGCACACGCAAGTGATGGGCAAGGGTGGAGGAGGCTGGAGAACGGGAGGCCCAGGCCTCCCACCCTCACGTATCACTCACCTTCCCATAGTTCCCTTTGCCAATGACTTTGAGGAAGTCGAAGTCGGTGGGCCGGGCACTGGGGGAAGAAGGAAGAACATGGGTCAGTGTTTGTGAGCCTGGGAAGCCTGGTGCCCGAGTTCAAATCCCGGCTTCTTTTTAACTTTGAAGCTGGGGGATCAAGGGAGTTTTCTAAGAGCCACGCCTCCTGGCTGCTGAAGCATGCCATGTTCTCTCGGCCAAGAGGGGGCTATAAGGCTGGCCCCTGCCCCTGGGGATCTCACAGTCGAGTAAACCACAGGCAAGGTGGGGAGAAAACCAGACATGACTGCCTAGAAGGCGAGGGATCTGGCCCCCAAAGCCTGAGATGGGCCTGAAGGGTGGGGAGCAGCTAAAATGACACAGATTTTTGGGGACATTTCAGGCAGAGGGCTCAGCCTGGGGAATTAGTGGGACATAAAGCTGAGGGATGGTCCTGGGCCCAGATGGCAGAGGGTCTTGAGGCTAGACCAGGGAACTTGGATTTTATTCTCAAGGCAAGGGGAGCCAGGTATGAGGGGAGCAGGGAGGAAAGGTGCTTGAGAGACCAGAACTCACTTTGGGTTGGCTGAAGGCCCCAGGTTGATGTTCTCATTGGCCCTCGAGGGCTAAAGACATTTACAGAAAGAGCTGATTAAGAGCAGGTCCCTACTCCTTGGCCCCCTCCCTTTGCCCTGGCCCAGGCCCTGCTCCCTTCTCCAACATCTCTACTAGCCTGTCTTCCTTCCTTCTTTCCACCCCTCTACCCAAACACCCTCCTATCCACCATCTCACCTGCCTCTTACAACAGCCTTGGGAGGCTGCTGGCTGTTGTGCCAATTGTGAGGGTGAGGAAACTGAGGACCAGAGGGGAGCTGTCCACGGCCTTACAGGCAGCCCCATTCGCATTAGAACCCAGGGGTCCTCAGGGCCAATCCCATGATTTTTCCACCCCATTTACTTCTTGAATCCCTTGCCCAAGTCTCTTCTCTATTTACTCTGCAAATGGCCCACTTCTGTGAGCTCACAGTAACCCCTGTCTGCCCCCTAGTCCTAGTCTGGGGCAGCCCGCCTGGCTGGCCAGATCTTCCACGGACTTCCTCAGCAGTGGGAGGAAGTGAGCCCCCTGGTGGTGGATGGGGGAACTAAGACTCACTCACCTGCGGACTGGGGGTCCCCGCCGGACTGGAGTCCATTCTGTAACAGTGATCAGGTGGGCTCTGGGGGCACAAGGAGGAGCAGGCATGAAGAGCTGTTGTTGGGGAATTCGCATCACTCTCGGGCTTCAGGCACGGCTGCCCTGTCCGCCCCTCCCTAACCCCGTGCACCTGCCACAGCCTGAGTGTCTCCTACTGGAGACCAGCACCCCCTGTGTGGAACAAGAAATGACATCCCCTGGACCCAGCCTCTCTAATCAAACATCTCAGGAGGAAGAGAGGGAGGACAGTCGGGATGGCTCCTCCCAGGCCGAGTCTTTTCAAGGGTTGGGGGCAGCCAGGGCAGCATGATCCCTGTGAGCCAGGACAGCTCAGGAAGTCCAGGATGGCCAGGGCTGGAAGGAGCCTAGCAGAGGATAAAGTCTGAACCCTTCCCCTCATTTCACAGGTGGGGAGCCTCAGGCCTAGAAAGGGACTTACCCAGGGTCACACAGCTTGTGAGCTGCAGGCTGAGCTCCCCAGGCTCCTATACAGGCATGTTGCAACCCTGAATTCCTGTGCACAGCCCCAGGCTGGGCTCTGTGCTTTTATCTCTCTGCCACCAGGACTTCCACCTAATGCCCCTGGAAGGGCAGCTGCTCTGGGGGCCGTGGGCCAGAGCCACAGAGAGACCCAAGACTGACCAGCGTCTATTTGAGAATAAACAGACCAACTGGTCTATGCGGCCAGAAGCATAGTGTCTTCCCTGCCCCCTCCCTGCAGGGTGGAGGAGGCTAGTGTGTCCAGGCCCTGGCTCAAGGTGCCCACGGCCCCACAGCCCAACCCCTGCTTGGAAGGTCAAGTCCAAGAGACGAGATCTCCCCTGAGAGCACAGTTGCTCGTGGGGGCTGCTGGGTACTGCTCGTCCCAAGAGCCTTGGCCTGCTGTGGGGCCTGGGCTGCAGCCTGGCCTTTTTGGGTAGAGACCACCCATCTTTACCAGGGGGCTCCTGGAAGCACCACCCCATGGCCTTCTTGAGAGCTGAGAAAGTGACCACAAGTAAAGGGGGGAATCCCCCAGCCCAGGCTGCTCTGAGAGGCCCAGCCCTGCGGAGCCCTGAGAAAGCGACCTGCAGAACTGCTAGAATAGGGAGGACAGCCTGGCCTCAGCCAGTGCCTCACAGTCTGTGCTCCCACAGACCACGCACAAGGCTGCCGTACCTGCTCCTAGGCTGACCCTGACGGCCTCTCTGCCTGGCCCTGGCCTCCCCGGCCCCACGTACCTGCCCAGCCGAGGATAGGCCGCCGACAGAGCCAGCAGTTGGAGCCGAGGACGGGCAGCGGACAAGAGAGCCTCTCTCTGTTCTCCCAACAAGGGCCCAAGTGTCTGTGCCTGGCGCCGGCCCGGCCCCAGCACCCAGCTCAGAACTCCCGGCAGCAGCAAGGGGGCTGTTGATGTCACATGGGATCCAGCAGAGCTTAAGAGGCACCAGAGACCTCTGTTCCCTTGGGGATGTCGCCTCCCCTTGGGTGGGGGGTGGAAAGGGGTGGGCAACAGCTGCAGGAGAGCCCTGGAGATGCTTGGGGCTTGTTAGAAAGGGTATGAGTGTGTGGGTCAGGGTGTGTGTGTGGCGTGCGTGTGCAGGTGTTTCGTCCATTGGTGTGCTTCAGGGTGCCTGTCTTGTGTGTCAGTGTGTCCTGTGGATCAAGGTGTTTGTCAGTGTGAGTCTGTGTAGATGACCACATGTGCTCTGCTTATTAGTGTGCCTCAGTGTGACCACGTTTGTGTGATTTTATCAGTGGGTCTGTGCACCTGTGACTGTTCTTACTGTGTGTGTACAGATGTGCTTCAGTGAGCCTCGGTGTAGTGTGTTGACATGTCAGTGTATATCTTTCTATCTGTTAATGTGTTGTGTGTATGTATATAAGTGAGTCTGCAGATGAGTATGGGTGTCTATTAATACGTGTGTGACAATGTAACCACATGTGTATAGATAAGTGGTGAGTCTGTGTTCGTATTGGTGCATATCAGTAAATTTCTGTGTGTGTGTGTGTGTGTGTGTGTGTGTGTGTGTGTGTGTGTGTGTAGGGGGCCTCTCTGTAAGAAGACACGCTCCGCAGGGCCTAACCAAGCCAGGTGTAGACCATCTGGGGCTGAAGATGAGGTTCCAGAGACCAACCATGGCAGCTGAGAGCACTTTGCCCCCTGAGAACCTGCAGGTGTTTCAGAGCCCTGGTGTCTGGCTCAGTCCAGCTGGCCTTGGTCTTTGACTGCTTGGTCCTTTGGGCCTTTCCCTGCTGACCCCTCCAGGGCTCTGGCCGCTGTCTCCGGGGCAGGGCTGGTTGTCTCACAGCTCTCCGGCTGTGTAAGAGACAGGAAACAGGGTCCTGGCCCGCATCCTGTCTCATGAAGGCCTTGCTGCCTGGTGTGATACTTAGGTACTCACAGGGTCCCTTTCTCTCCCCTGAAGCTTGTGAGGGGTGTTCTGAGGAATGAAGGAGTTTACAGGGTCCGACACAGCCCCTGCCCTTCTGGAACTTACTGTGTGGCTACCATGTGCCACACCCAGACCTTGGCAATTCACCACAGTGGAGGGATCCATGGGGCTGGGGACAAGGGGGTTGGTCAGGCAGGGACCTGAGCCCAGTGGCCTCGGGGGTTCTCTGTAGGCTCTGAAGTGCAGTAGACCTGGGAGTGTCAGCCAAGGAAAAGCCAAGTGAACCATATCAGAGCCTTCCATCTTGCAACAAACAGATATGTTGAACCAGTACACAGATGGGAAGGATGTCATGTTGACAAAACATATATCCAGAACAAAGACACTTCTTTTCAATAACAGTCCCTGATGGGCCCTTCATTCAGCAGCACTGCTTAAAACAGGAAAATAATGGTGATAATAATAATAATAACCCAAATGTCCCACCACAGGGCACTTCAGAACACCTGCTGGCTGTAACATCTCCCTCTCTAGACCTTACATTACTCTCCAGATGTTGTCCCATTTCTCTGTTCCCTTTTTCAATTAAACTCCTTGAAAAAGTTGTCTGGACTCAGTCTCCACTGCTCCTTTTCTCTCTAGAACCCATTCCAAAGAGACCTTCATCCCAACATGCCACCAAAACAGTGGACTGGTGACCTCCATGTGCCAGACCAGTGATGAATTCTGCGTCCTCATCTCACTCGGCTTCTCTGAGGATTTGACCCACTTGGCTTCAGGAGCAGGCTTTCCTTCCACTCACTGACTGCTCTTTCTCCGTCTCTTCTGCTGGAGTCCCCTCCTCTTTTTACCCTTAAACACTGGACTGCCTCAGGGCTCAGCTCTTGGACATCTATCTACACTTGTTCCCTAACTGATCTCAACCATTTCTTTTTTTGGTGAGGAACATTGGCCCTGAGCTAATACCCATTGCCAATCTTCCCCTTTTCCTTAAGGAAGATTGGCCCTGAGCTAACATCTGTGCCCATCTTCCTCTATTTTTCATATGTGGGACGCCGCCACAGCATGGCTTAACCAGTGGTGTGTAGGTCCGTGCCTGGGATCCGAACCCACAAACCCCGGGCCGCTGAAACGGAGCACGCAAACTTAACCACTACGCCACATGGCCAGCTCTGATCTCAACCAGTTTCATGGCTTTAAGTACCAACTATACTCCACAATCTCCAATCGTCTCTCTAGCTCTGATTCTCTCCTGAACTCTGGATTTATCCATCTAAATGCTTCCTCGACACTTCACTAGTTAGATGTCTGGAGGCACCTCACTCTTTTTTTTTGTGAGGAAGATCAGCCCTGAACTAACATCTGCCAATCCTCCTCTTTTTGCTGAGGAAGACTGGCTCTGGGCTAACATCCATGCCCATCTTCCTCCACTTTATTTGGGATGCCACCACAGCATGGCCTGACAAGCGGTGCGACGGTACGTGCCCGGGATCCAAACCGGTGGCAAACCCCGGGCCGCCGCAGCGGAGCGCGCACACTTAACCGCTTGCACCACCGGGCCGGCCCCAAGAGGCACCTCACTCTTAACATGCCCAAAATGAAAGTGTTGACTCACATTGCTTCCACTCTGCCCCAGCCTGCTCCTCCCTCAGCCTTCTATCTCAGTAACAGCACTACCACCCTTTCAAAAGTTCAAGCCCGCAACTTGGAATTCATTCTAGAAAACTTGCTCCACGAAATCCCACCATAAAATCTCATTAGACTCTACCTTCACATTATATCCAGAACCCACGGGGGTCACCACCACTGCTGCAACCACGCCGCCTGAGCCACCATCATCTCTTGCACGGCTTATTGCGATAGCTTCCCTATTGTCTCTCTATTTCTGTCTTTACCCAACTACAAACTTTCTCCACCAAAAGCCAGAGTGACTCTTTTAAAATGTAAGTCAGATCATGTGACTGTGTTGCTCAAAAACTCCAGTGGCTTCCCATCACACCTAGGATCAAAATCCAAAGTCTTTACTATGGTCTAGGAGATTCCACACGACCTGGCTCCTGTCTCCGTCTCCCTCGCCAGGGAGGGAGCCTCTCTCCTCCCACACGCCAGCCTTCCCGGCTCTCTCACTGTCCGTCAAACACAGAGTGCCCTCTACCTCCTGCCCTTTGCACTTACTTTTCCCTCCGCCTAGAACGCTTTTCCCCAGACATGTGCATGGCTGGCTTCCACTAACGTCAGAGAGGTCTCTGCTCAAATTTTTGAGCCTTTTCTGATTACTGGTGACTGATGGTCCTGGTTTGTCAGGGGTTCTCCGGGATGTGAGACTTTCAGTGCTAAAACCAGTATAGTCCTGGGCAAACCAGGATGATTGGTCAGTCTACAAAACCAGTCCTGCTCATTCCCTATCCACTTTTTCTACTTTATATTTTACTTCATAACACTTATCATTCTCTGACACCTTTTCATGCAACTCTTTATTTTCTGTCTCAAGTTAGAACATCAGCTCCATGAGGACAAAGACTTTCCTCGTTTGCTGTCAAATGCCCAGCACCTAGAACAGGGCCAGGAATAGAGTTCGTGTTCACTACATATTTGACTGATGAATCAAGGAATGAATTGATAAGACAAATTATAGTACAGATGTAAAACTAAAAATTACCCAACAACAAAAACCTATGTAAATCGAAATGGGAACACATATGTGATACAATGTCAAGCAAAAAAGCAGGTTTCAAAATGGTAGGTATACCAGGGATACCATCTTTGTAAAGGAAAAAAGACATGTGTGCACATGTACATTTGTGTATAGCCACAAAAAAAAGCTGGAGGGCCACGACCCAAGGCGACAGTGGGTTAGGTTTTTATCTTTGTACCGTTGTGTGGAATTTCTCAAGATGTTGCTATTCACTTAATACTTAGGTACTAAGTCCTGGTAGGAACTTTGACATGCCTTTTGACATCACCTTCCTCCATCACCTTGACTGTGACCCCTACACCTGAGCAGCTCTCTGCTTCTAAGGCTTCTTTCTCTCCTCCACCACTGTCTTCTGATTTTCTAGCCAGACATTTTCTAGGAGCATCAATATTTTCTCCTGACTCTTCAGGCCTATAGAGACCCCTTTGAACTCCAAAGGGGTGGTCCAAGCCCCTCCATGAGCCCTCAAGCCTGTTCCTCCCCCTAACTTGCCCTAGCCTAGACTTGCATCCCTCTGCCCCATCACCATATGGACCTGCTCACATTTCCCTGGACCTGCTGAATGGGGTGGGGGTGGGGGTCATACAGTTCCCTCTCCTTGGAACTCTCTCCTGACCAGTCTTGTCTGCTTGGCTAACCCTTTTCATCTGTCCTCACTTGCCTTCCCTGGAAGCCTTGCCAGACCACTTCCTGATCCCATGAACTCTCGCCCCCTTCTCTGCACCTGCTTCTGTTGTTGCACTGTCTTGACTCTACTGTTGTTTATTCCTTTACACGCCTGCCTGCCCAGTGCACACCAATGACATCCCAATGACAGTGCACACCAAGGGCCAGCTTCGTCTTATTTTGTTCCCACGATGCCATGGGTTAGGAACTATTATCATCCCTGTTTTAAGGAGGAGGAAACTGAGGTATGGAGAGGTGAAGTGACTTGATCAAGACACACAGCTAGTAAACGATATAACTGGGATTTAACCCAGGCAGCCTGACTCCAAAGCCTCTCGCCTGAAATTTCAGGAAGAAGTTAGGAATTTAGAAAAGGAAGGAATGAAATTAGTGGGAAGGAAGTGAGGATATAAATTGGTTATTTAGGAAGGAAGAAAATTAGGCAGCTGAGAAGGCAGAGAGTTTCTTGAGAGGGAAGGAAGGAAAGGAGGGAGGAAAAGGAGAAAGAAGTTAGGAAGAAAGGAAATTAGGAAAGAAGGAAGGGAGGGAGAGAAGAGTTAGGAAGAAAAAAGGAAGGAAGGGAATTAGGAAGGAGGGTGTTAGGAAGGAAAGGAAGTAAATAGGTAGTTAGGAAGGAAGTTAGCTAGGTAACTAGTCAATCAATTGGGCAGACTAACATGCCTGCAGGCAGGTGTCCTGCTCACAGTAGAGCCTCTCACCTGAAAACTCTGGGTCCCAGCTCAGGTCCTGGGGAGCAGCCCCGAGCACAGCTCTGCCCTCCTGTCTCTCCGCATGGTCCCTCTGACCTGAAACCCAATCCCGACTTGCAGGAACAACCTTCCCAGTCAGGAGAGACCTATCACCCACTCATTCGGGCTCCTAAACCAGCTCAACCTCCCAGCCCTGCTGGCTGGGAGCTGGCTGGGAGCTGGCTGCAGGGCCTTCCAGTTACTAATTAACCACTGGACCTAAGTCACGATGCTGGCTGCACCCACTGGCTCCTCCATGGACCCTGCCCTGGGGACCCTCTGACCTTTTAAAAGCTACTGTACAACTTAAGTTGTGTGACCTTGGGCAAGTGACGTCAGCTCCCTGAGCCTCGTGTGAATTGGTGATGATGGTGTGTGTCCTACCCCACAGGGAGGGTCTCTGAAGTCCCTTTCAACCCCCTTCCCTCCCACCTCCCAGGTCCACCTCAAATGCTGACTCTCCCACATAGCCTTCCCTGATTCCATCAGCTGAATCACTTTCCCTTTCTCTTAGGGCCTGGAGAACTGACCATGGAAAGGGCTTGTCTCATGTAACTGTCTCCTCTACTCCTTCCCCGATGGAGACCACCAGCCTCTGTGATTAGGCTTTTCATGGACACCTCCAGGGAGGGGCAGCTCGTTCCCTCCTGAGCCAGCCTCATTGCCTGACACCACTGGCACTCTCCTGTGTTGAGCCAAAGCCTGCTGCCCAGAGCTCACCTGCTCTGGCACTGCCCCGGCACCATCCTGGGAGGAGAACCAAGGCTAAGCTGAGACCCATGTCCCCCTCTGCCCTTCGGAGACTTTAGGCTCAGGAACCAGGGCTCAGCTCTCCCCAGCTCTCATGGAAGGAAGGCTTTCTCCTGGTTGACCTGAAGTTACCTGGACCGAGGGTTCTAACTCAGGGCAGGGGCAGGGCCTGGCCTATTGGACAGGTGACTCCTCCTCTGTAGACAACAACCCAGAGTCTGATTGCCACACTGCTTCCTCTATTGCCTTTTCATTAGAATGTCAACCAGCTCCGCGTCATTCTAGTGCTTTAAAAACTGGCTGCTCTACCGTGCTCTGGAGGAGCCCTGCACGCCCCACGCCCCCCCTCCACCAAAACACACATCAGCATGTGTCTGGCCCCTGCCCAAAGAGTGGTGGCAGCTGGCCCAAGAGCAGAGCAAATCAGGGCAGAGCCGTGGGTCCCGCCCCTTCCCAGAGCGGCAGCTGCTTCTGCTCCGCCCAGCTCCTCCTCCCCTGCACTCCCAAAGCCGCTTTTAAAAAACTCCGCATAATGGTATTGCATAAACTGCATCAAAGAATTCCAACATACAGAAGAATGTGGAATAAAAGGTGAAAGCTTCTCCTCCAACCCATCTTCAATCTCTTTTCCAGAGGTAACTGCTGTTAACTAAATGGTGGCTATCCTTCCAGACTCTTGTGTAAGCCCTAAGCTACGCATTTTATACACTTTTTTTCCCAGAAAAATGGGCTGTGCTATACATATTGTTCAGCAACTCATTTTTTTTCTCATACACACCTTTCCATGTCAACATATAGAGGTTCAACATTTTTTTTTCTTTCACAAATCCACACTTTTACTTATTTACTTTTCAATAAGGTTAAAGCCTTGAAGGGTGCAGCATCACACGGATTCTGTGTCCAATGGCCTTGGCAGGAAAGTTGCTTTGGGATTTGGCACAAAGCATGCCACTGTTTCCACGAGCACGAGTTACCTTTCCCCAGATTACTCTGGTTTTGTTAGGTTTGCCACCAGGAGTCACTGTGCTGTTCTTTGCTTTGTACACGTAAGCGCATCTCTTGCCTAGATAGAATTCAGTTTCATCTCGAGCATAAACACCTTCAATTTTAAGCAGGCCTATGTGCTCCCTCTGGTTCCGGAGACCTCACTTTTAGCCAGCAACAATGGCCTTGGATCACAGCCTTCCAGACATACTTGTCGTTTTAGAAATCCTGTCTCCAGAAGGCCTCCGTAGCCTCCAAGACGGCGGAAAGAGGTTTTTTAAAACATCTGCCTCACATTGTATCATGTGGGATTAATTTCCCTAGCCCTGGTCCCTCCTCGCTGTCCCTTTGCTGATGGATATTTAGGCTGCTACAGAGCAATTTCACAAAAATTCTAACAAGGCTGCAGAGAACATCTGTGTATTAATATCCTGTGGCCTTGTGCTAGTCTTTCCGTCTGATCAACTCCTACAAGTGGGAGTGCTGGGTTAATTGTGGCCTAGCCACCAAATTACTGTGAAAAGCTGTCCCAGCTGCCACGGCTGTCAGCAGTGCTTGAGTGTGCCCTTTCCCCTCAGCGATGCTGCAGAAAATAGCCAAGGCCACTCCTGCCGTGAGGCCCCTGCAGATATGAATCTCCACCCCCATCTTCTGCTGCCTTCTTCTTTTCCCTCCCACCCTCCCTGTCTCTTCCCTCTCAGCTGGCTGGATTCCGTTGTTTGGGTATTAAGGTCAAAGATAGGTTCTCACGGATGAGGAGGGGAAGCAAGAGACTGAGCCAATGGGAACCCACCGCCATGCATATTCCCTCCACCCTGACCTTCCTCCACCCACTTTTCTGTGCTTTGTCTGCTGCGCCCCCACTCCCACCATTACCCCCACCTGCACACACCTTCTCACACCTGCCGATGCATCCATTAGTAGAGGGAATAATGGGGATAGGGTCAGTACAGAAAAATCTGTTACCCACGTGGGCTGGGAGCAGAGTTCACACATAGGTCAGAGATGCACCCCCAGTTTTCTTTTGGAAAAAAAAGATTTTTAGAAAGTGATAAATGTACAAAATTTTAAAAATCAAATAGGACTATGAGGTGGATAATTATCAGTTCCTTGTCCTATTCCTCACCTTTTGTAGCTGCTTCCTTTGGTATTTACCTCCATGTGTCTAAATAGCATGATTATACTGCTATTCCTTCATCTTTCAGTTTTAAAAACGATGAAGTGGCTTCCTTCCTCCTATGGAACATGAATATTCAGATCTCGGCCATTCAAACACACACTTCTGCTTTTCCTAAACTTAATTCATAATAGCCTCATTTGATGGTTTGAAATATTGAATATATATACACACACACATATAATTCTCTCAAACTCTCTGATAAGAACTGAAAGTATCCTCTTCATACAATAATACATATCGGTTTTGGTTTGTGTTTGTTTTTTTCATCATTCCTGTAGCCTTTCATCCTTCTGTCTCACCTGGACAGGTGCTCAATTGTCAACCCGGCCCTTCCTTTCCCATCACTGGAAATTCCCTTTGTCTCTCTCCTCACTGAACATTCTGTTTCCTGGATCCTATGTTTTCCTCTTCTTTTAAAAAAAATTTTTAAGTTGTGGTTAAATCTATACAACATAAAAGTTGCCGTTTTAACCATTTTTAAGTAGACAATTCAGTGGCATTAAGTACATTCACAATGTTGTGCAACCATCACCATCTATTTCCAAAACTTTTTCACCATCCCAAAGAGAAACTCTGTAGCCATTAAGCAATAACTCTTCATTCCCCCTTCACCCCAACCCCTGGTAACCTCTAATCTACTTTCTGTTTCTGTGAATTTGCCTATTCTAGATATTTCATGTAAGTGGAATCATACAATATTTGTCCTTTTATGTCAAACAGCCAAACTGTTTTCCAGAGTGGCTACATCATTTTACATTCCAACCAGCAATTTCTCCACATCCTTGCCAACAATGATTATTTTCCTTTTTTTTTTTTTTTTTTGATTATAGCCATCCTAGTGGGTGTGAAGTGGTATCCCACTGTGGTTCATTTGCATTTCTCTAATGACTAATGATGTTGAATATCTTTTCATGTGTTTGTTAGCCATCTGCATATCTTCACTGGAGAAAAGTCTAGTCAAGTCTTCTGCCCATTTCTCTCTTGGGTTGTCTTTTTGTTGTTTAGTTTTAGGAGTTCTTTATATTTTCTGGATATTAAACCCTTGTCAGACACACAATTTGAAAATATTTCCCCCCATTCTGTAGGTTATCTTTTCACTTTCTTGGTAATGTCCTTTGATGCACAAAAGTTTTTCATTTTGAAGTTCAACTTATCTACTTTTTCTTTTGTTGCTTGTGCTTTTGGTGTCACACCTAGAATCCATTGCCAATTCCAAGGTCATAAAGATTTACTTCTGTGTTTTCTTCTAAGGGTTTTATGGTTTTAGCTCTTATATTTAGGTAATCGATCCATTTTGAGTTCATTTTTGTATACGAGGTAAGGTAGGCATCCCACTTCATTTCTTTCACACATGGAAATCCAGTTGTCCCAGCACCATTTGTTGAAGAGATTGTTCTCTTCAGTCAAACGGACTTGACACTCTTATCAAAAATCAACTGGGCATAGATGTATGGGTTTATTTCCAGATTCTCAATTCTATTCAATCAGTCTTTACGTCTGTCCTTATGCCAGTATCACACTATTTTGATTACGTTATCTTTGTATTAAGTTTTGAAATCAGGAAGTCTGAGTCCTCCAACTTCGTTCTTTTTCAAGATTGCTTTGGCTTTTTGGGGCCCCTTGCAATTCCATATGAATATGTGAATCAGCTATTCCATTCCTGGAAAAAAAGCCACTGGACTTTTGGTAGGGTTTGCACTGAATCTGTAGATCGCTTTGGATAGTATTGACATCTTAACACTATTAAGTCTTCCTACCCATGAACACAGATGTCTTTCCGTTTATTTAGGTCTTTAATTCTTTCAGCAATGTTTTGTAGTTCTCAGCATATAAGTCTTTCACCTCCTTGTTTACGTTTACTCCTAGGTATTTTATTCTTTCAGATGCTATTATAAATGGGATTGTTTTATTAATTTCCTTTTCGGATTGTTTGTTGCAGGTGTATAGAAACACAAGTGATTTTTGTGTGCTGATCTTACATCCTGCAACTTTATTAGCTCTACCAGCTTTCTTGTGGATTTTTCATACAGTCGTCCCTTCGTATCTGCCAGGTTTTGGCTCCAGGACCCCCCCGGGGTACCAAAATCCACAGATGCTGAAGTCTCTTATACAAAATGGGGTAGTATTTGCACATAACCTATGCACATCCTCCCATATATTTAAGTCATCTCTAGATTACTTATGTTACTTAATACAGTGTAAATACTATGTAAATAGTTGTTACACTGTATCATTTAGGGATAAATGGTAAGAAAAAAAGGTCTATACATGTTCAGTACAGATGCAACCATTGTAGGCCTTTTGATTCCCAGTTGGTTGAATCCACAGATGCAGAACTCACAGATATGGAGGGTCGACTGTATATAAGATCATGTCATCTACGAAGAGAGATAGTTTTACATCTTCCTGTCCAATTTGGGTGCCTTTCATTTCTTTTTCTTATCTAATTGCTCTGGCTGGAACTTCCAGTACAATACTGAATAGCAGTGGTAAAAGGGGGCTTCCTTGTCTTGTTCTTCATCTTAGGGAGAAATCTTTCAGTCTTTTGACATTGAGTATGATGCTAGCTGTTTTTTTTTTTTTTTTTTTTTTGTAGGTGCTCTTTATCATGTTGAGGAAGTTCCCTTCTATTCCTAGTTTTCTGTTTTTACTGTGAAAGGGTGTTGGATTTTATCAAATGTCTTTTCTGCATCAAGAGGATCATATGTTTTTTCCCCCGTGTTCTAGTAATGTGGTGTATTACATAGATTGATTTTCTTGTGTTGAACTACCCTTGCATTCCTGGGATCTTCCTCTTTTTTGATTTACTTTTTCATTTTGATGGAGCACATCCTCCTGTGGCTTCCTGGGGAAAGGTGCACAGGAGGTAAAAGTTTGAAACTTTGTATGTTTAAAAACGTTCTGCCTTCACATTTGTTTGACAGCTTGGCTGAGTACAGAATTCTAGGGTGGAAATAAATTTCCTTTGGAATTGTGAAGACATTGCTCCACTCTCTTGCTTCCAGCATTGCTATTGAGAAGTTCAACACTATAGTGACTCATGTTCATTTGGATGAGACCTCTTTTATTCACTCTGGAAGCTTTTTAGATCTTCTCTCTGTTCTCAATATTCTGACATCTCAAAAGAACGTAGCTTGGTGACATTCCTTTTGCATTCATTGCACTGGGCATTCAGTGTGACTTTTCAATTTGTAGACTATTGTCTCTCACCTACATGAAATTTCCTTTTTTCTTTGGTGATGAAGAGTGGCCCTGAGCTAACATCTATGCCAACCTTCCTCTATTTTGTATGTGGGACACCTCCACAGCATGGCTTGATGAGTGATGCAGGTCCGTGCCCGGGATCTGAATCCGTGAACCCAGGCCACCGAAGTGGAGCATGCTGAACTTAACCACTATGCCCCCAGGTCAGCCCCAAAATTTCCTTTTTGTTTTTATTTTTATGTATGTATGTATGTATGTATTTATGAAGATTGGCCCTGTGCTAACATCTGTTGCCAATCTTCCTCTTTTTCTTTTTCCTCCCCAAAGCCCCAGTACACAGTTGTGTATCATAGTTGTAGCGCTGTAGCTCTTCTATATGGGACGTCACCTCAGCATGGCTTGATGAGTGGTGAGTAGGCCCACACCCAGGATCTGAACCAGTGAACCCTGGCCCACCAAAGCAGAACGCACGAACTTAACCGCTGCGCTACCGGGCCGGCCCTTGTTTTTATTTTATATAGTTTTTTTCTGTTCTCTCTTATTGGCATTCTTATTAGTTGTACATTGGACCTCCAGCAAGGCCTCTAATTTCCTCATTCATTCCCATTCTTCACCTCTTTGTCTTTTAGTTTACTTTCTTGGCAATATCCTCATCTTTATCTTTCAACACTTGAGTTGCATTATTTTGTCTCTGCAACCACATTTTAAATTTCCAAAGTCCTTTCTTGTCTCTTAATCTTTCTTTTCTCTTTATAACAGCACGGCTGGTAGAGGATTAGCTTTCGACAAGTGGAAAGATCAACTCTTCCACTGTGATAGGCAGGAAGGAGGAAGGATGGATGTGGGTGGGAGGAGACTGGCAGATAAGGTGGCAGGAAGGTGGGGGGCATCCCTTCTGATGACTTCCATTTTCTCTGTGACGTAGATGGTGAGGACATCTGTTGAGACAACAGGAGGGTAATGGGGTAGGAGGTTTGAGGAGCATGATAAGAGAAGTCACAGCTAACCCCCCAAAAAGCTCGGCTGCCTCCTGGGCAGCGCTGAGGGTTCACAGTGAAGCCAGAGGCCATCAGTCAACCACAGCACCCATCTGCTAGGTCAGGTAAGCTCCTGGTCAAGACGTGGAGATGACGGGCTCTTGGGCAGCTCTATGGTTGGTACTCTTCTAGCCAAGCAGTCTGGAAGAGCAGCGGGGCAAGGGAATTAAGGATATTGACAAGAAAGGGGTTGACGTGACTGGATGTGGCATTTTAGCCACTTCCCCGTCTGCTCACATAGCCTCTGGGAACCACAACAAACTCGAACCGTTCAGCTTGACATTCCCCACCTGAAAGTTTGATGTTATTTTAAAAACTGGAGGCTTCCTTGAATTTCCTCGCCTTGACCACTTAGAAACTATCATGCATCAGGCCCTTTGTACACTGTTCTCTGGGGGTTCCCGTTGTTTATATCTCTCAATGTAGATAAGCATATCCATTTATCTTTGTTCTTTGTTTCTTACCTTTAAAATAGAATAAAAATCAGATTCTTTAGGACCCCTAACAGCAAAGAGAACACTTTATTCTCTTCAGTAAACAGCACTATTGGTATTTATCTTGTGTTTTCTGGATGTTTTATCATGAAAATAGAAACGAACTCCGCATATTATCCAGTTGTTCAAGTTTATTTATGTTGTTTTAATACATTGACAAACACAGCACATTTTGTTTGTAACTTTTTCTCCTTCAAGAGTCACGAGTCACTTTATCTTAAACCAGAGAATTCTATTAAAGAACGCATGTGTGCACACGCACACACACACACACATACACACACACACGAGGCAAGTACAAAAAATGTAACACCACCAAAGTGCATGTGAATGAAAGTGCAAACAGGCTTCATTTTCAAACTCTGGGATCACTCTCTCTGCTTCAAGAATTAAATAGAAACGTCCCCACTGCCCTAGGCCAGGGCTGGGCAAGGGCTGGGCGAGGCTGCTGGGGGCCAAAGTGTAAGTGGTGTCTGCTGCTGGAGAGCAGGGCAGAGGGCACAGGGCACTGGGCACCGGCGCCAACTCCTTCCCCTCATTGCGCTCCCAGGTCAAGGGTCAATGATCCCATTTGGGGACAGGATGGGGGTGAAGGGGCAGTGGGGTAGACAAAAGGCAGAGTTTTTTCTTTTTTTATGATTTGGTCTCTTTCCAGAAAGTTTTACATTGGTGCAGAAAGTGCTGAGGCCTCAAAGTTCGGAGGCTGGGGGCCCTTTTCTCCAAGACGCTTAGTCCACCCTGTCTTTCCCGTAGGCAAGCATTAGGAGCGTGGCTGGCAGATCCACATCGCGAAGCTCTCCCAGCCCTGCTCCTTAGAAGTGGTGAGATGCCACAGCACAGCTGTGCATACTTGCTGCCTTCTCCTCACACCAGAAAGCCAGCGAGCATCTCGCCTCAGTTTCAGAGAGGAGCAGACAAGGCCAAGGAGCTGGTGCGTTTTGCCACCACCCATGCAAACAAGCTAGAGAGGCTCAGGCTTGCTCCTCCTTCCTCTTGGCCAAGGGGGCACCAATGCAACCTCTGTAACCCCAACCCTCAGCCAGGGGCAGGGCCCGCTCAGCTTCCTCTCAGGAAGGCTGTGCTCAGAGCTGCCAACTACAGGCTGAAAGGGAAAGGACATCTGAAGCCCTGCGGGAGCTCAGCTGGGGGGACGAATGGCTGTCCTGGCAAAGCTGTCTGGGCCCACGTGAGAGAGGGTCCCCGACTGGGCTGGGGCAGGAATCAACAGAGCTTTGGGTTTCCCGCCTCTACAGGAAAGATAAAGCTTCATATTTTAATAATAGCCCTTGACATTTTCCCAGCACCAAGCCTCACATCTGCACCCTGTCAAACATTTCTGAGAGCGCCCTACACACACACACACACACACACACACGCGACTGAGAGAAGGGGTCTTGGGAAGGCCCCCCTGGCTCCACACCCTGCAGGCCCATCTCAGCACCCGGGGCCACCAGAGCTTGGCAGTTGCCCCTCACCTCCAGTGGGGCCTCTGTCCCCACCCCTCAAGGCTGGGAGGCAGGTTTGGCAGTGGCTCAGTGGAGGCTGGGTGCCCACTTAGACAGAAAAGTCGAAGTCCCAGAGCCCCAGCAGGCTCCCAGTTGGCAGTGCAAGACAGATGGAGAGTGGTAAGAAAGGCTTAAAGGACACAGAAGAATTCACTTTCCCAACTCAAGTGGTCTTTATAAGACTCCTCAAGAGCAAGACATTTAAGGGACAGGCAGAATGTGATGTCATGGGGTGTGTGTGCTAGACAGAGTGCTACATGCCCACGGCAGGAGGCTTGGCAGGCATGGAGCCCTCACCCCATGGGCAATATCTTGGCTGAGATCCACGCCTGCAGAAAAGGATGCTATGCCCAGCTTTGGGAGCCACCATGCCTGCTGGAGCTGCTGCTCTGGCCAAAGACCCCAGATCGTCTGACATACCTTTGGGCTGGCCTCGGCTACCTAGCTGGCAGGCGGCTTCCTCCCGACGTCGACACAGGAAGGGAGTATGGGGAACAGCTGTGGAACCTTAACCTCGGCCGCAGAGGTAAAGCAGGCTCTAAACACCCACTGTGCTGGAAACAGGACTTGGCGTGGGACACAAATGCCAAGTGGTCCAGAACTGGGCATGTTTAAGAAGGCATCTCAGCTCAGAATCTCCCAATTCTGAGCAAAAGGGAGCAAGGCAGCCAGAGACTCCCAATGGATCCTATGAAAACATGTTTCTGAGGCTCACCCGTCTAAGGGGGAAGAGCCAGTGGGGTCTGGCTGGGCCAAGGCTGGGGACACTGCCCAGGAAACCAGGCAGCAGAATGAGGGCAGCAAAATCAGAAAAGGAGGGAGGTATCTTTCTGAGTAAACATGTTTGGGGCAGGGTTACTTCTTGGTAGGAGGAAAGGAGATAAGGAAAGAAAAGCAGAGAGAGATGCTGAAGAGAAAAGGGCCTCAGATCGGAGGACTCCCGTTCTACCAGACTGTTCTCAACTGCTAAGAAAAAGACCCGAAGGGTGATAGAACAAGTCAGCTGGAGATGTGGGGCTTCCAGAGGCAGGGCGTCTCCAAGCTATTCCATCAGCAATGCTCCCCCAGCCCAGTCACACCTCACCGCTGTGCCTGGTGGCAGGTGAGCCCAGGACTGGGCAGCAAGGACTCCATCTCCCCCAGGGCTCCTCTGCTCCCATGTACCTTGTAGGAAGCAGCCCCGGAGAGAAGGACCAGCCCTGGTAAGATAGAGACGGTGGTGGGGGTGCAGGTGGGACGTGAGGAACTCGAGTCGGGAAGGAAGCATCAGCTGCAGAGGGAGGCCCAGCTGAGCTGGAGCCAGTCACTTTAAGGTGTCATCGGCGTTTTTGAACATGAGAATGGCATTATAGATCTTCAAGGCTGGACCCAGCTTGACGCTCATGATCTTCACAATGTCTGCCTGTGTCAGCAAAAGGAAGGCCTCGCCGTCAATCATCTGAGGGGTCAGGGGAGGCGGAAAGAGGAGAAGGTGGAGAGGGTCATGGGGAGGGGGTGAAGGGTGGGAGGATGTGCATGGGAGTGGGGAGGGGAGAAAGAAAATTGGAGAAAAGGATATGGGGGGAGGGAAGGAGGAGGGAGAAGGAGAAGGAAGGCAAAGGAGAAAGGAGTAGGGAGGGAGAAAGGAAAAAAGGAAGACAGCAATGCGGACAGAGAAGGAAAGAAAGACATCCACTGGCTCCCCCATGGCCACACACACATTCTTTCTCTTTCCCTTTCTCTCTTTCTGCTGACCAGTCTGGATTTCAGTGTGTATTTGTATAACATCTTCTGAGTCCTCACTGACACTGGCTTCAAAAAACCTGCTGTTGCTGCCCCCACAGGAACCCACTGGTCAAGCTTAGTGCTGCTAACAGTAAACAAGGAGACACTGTGGGTATTCCAACGTGATGCCGTATGAGGTACGTGGTGTTACCTGTGAGCTACCCTTGAGAGAGTGAGCGAGAAAGGGGGTGGGGAGGGGGAGAGAGAGAGAGCAAAGAGGAGGAGAGAGGAAGAGAGAGATTTGATCTGAATCTAACCAAGCTCCTGGATCTAACTTCCAGTTTAGAGGAAATACAGGGGATAGTGGAACAAGTTAAGTGACACCACAAGGAAGCAATGAGATGAATCCAGAAGGGCACATTCTGCAAGACTTTTTTCAATGTCATGAAAAAGAAGAAAGAAAAAAAAAGAGAAGAGACTATTCTAGAATAAGAGTTATTTAAGAGACATAACAACCCAAACCAATCATGTGGACCTTGTTTGGATCCTGGCTCAAGAACACCAACTGCAAAGGATATTCTGGGCACAACCAGGGAAATCTGAATACAGCCAGGGTATCAGGTGATATGAAGGCATTACTGTCAATTTGCTAGGTGGGATAACAATGTGGTGGTTATGCAGAGAAAGACTTTAGTTTTTCGAGATGCATGCTAAAGTACTCAGGGGTGAAATGCCATGATATCCATTATTTACTTAAAATTACTTCATCTAAAAACAGGTGTCGGGTGGCCCAGTGACGTAGTGGTTAAGTGCGTGCACTCTGCTGCTGGCAGCCCGGGTTTGGATCTGGGCACGCATCAAGGCACCGCTTGTCAGGCCATGCTGTGGCAGCATCCCATATAAAGTGGAGGAAGATGGGCACAGATGTTAGCCCAGGGCCGGTCTTCCTCAGCAAAAAGAGGAGGATTGGCATGGATGTTAGCTCAGGGCTGATCTTCCTCACACACAAAAAATAAATAAATAAAATAAATAAATAAAAACAGGTGACACAAATATGGAAACTGTCGATAATTGCTAACTCCAGGGGATAGGTACCTGGGTAGGGACAGGGAGGGAAGAAGCCAGTTGTGGAGGAGGGAATGAGATGAAGAGAGCTCGGGAGAGGGCTATGTGAGGCTAGGGACGGGAGTGGGGGGTGTTGAGCAAACAGGGCATTGTCTCTCAGAGGGTGGGCTCTGGCTGGGCTGGGGAGCCCCTGGGCAGGAGAACCATGTGGACCGGACCTTGTCCCACCATTTAGCCTGAAGAAGCCCTTCCTCTGGGACTCCTTTTTTGAGGAGGCACCATCCCTCCTAGGCCCAATCCTTAAGAATCATGGCAAATAAAACACTTCTATGGTGTTTCTTACATACCCGGCTCTGTTCTTAAACACTTTTTGTATATTAACTCATTTAGTCCTCACAACACCCCTATGAAGCAGTACCAGTGTTACCCCCATTTTATAGATGGGGAAACTGAGGCAGAAGGGCTAAGGAATTTGCCCAAGATACACCTGGTTTGTAGGTGCTGGAGCCGTGACTCCAGAGCGTGTGCTCTTAACCACTGTGAGCCATGGAGAGGGGCTCTCATGCATATGATTCATGCAGCTCCGGGGGTGATGCCCCCCAAGCGTGGCCCTGCCCATGAGCCTCCTCACATCCAGCTCCACAGACTGAACTACGGATCCTTCCCAAATCACTGGGTGTTTTCTGCCTCGGACCTCTGCTCCCTGTATCACCCCTGCCTGGTAGCCCTTCTCTCTGTCGGCCGGCTGAACCCCAGTGCTTCTCCCAATGTTCAGAGATGCCCGCTCCTGCCACTCTGCCTGGAGCTCACACAGTTCAACAAACTCCACTGAACTGTATGGGTCTGCTCACTTGTCTTCCAGGAGCGCCAGATGGCTGCTTATCTGATATTTAGTGGGTGCTCAGTGAACAATGAAAGGGTGAATAAAAGGGTCTCTGAGATGTGGCAACGGGCAGGATGCATCTCAGAGAGGCTGGCGACCTTAGAGGTTAAACTGGGTCGGGGCAATGAACCCCATACAGCTGTCCTCCCAGCAGCTATGAGAAAAGTTTCCTGGTCCTTCACTATTCACTAACCAAAGAAGCTCTGAAAACTGGCACTTCTGATGGCTAAACATCTTCTAAAAATAAAGAAAGAAAAGAAAAGCCTAATAGCTAAAAGTTCCTGATGAGATTATCTGTGTTATGCTTCCTTTCAAACACCCTAAGGTGACCTGTCAAGTGCAAATGGGCCTCCCAGGTCTAATGTCTGGGGTCAGGCGAGTAAGTGCACGTCCCCCATCCTATCCATGCAGATGGCACCTAAGACAAGGAGATCAAAGGCAGAGCAGTTCCCAGAGTCTGCCATTCCACTGTCTCTCCAGTGCCTCCTCGATGGGAGAAGTGCCCCAGATACTAAGAGTTGTGCGGGGGACCCATCAGCCACATGGCCATCCCAGGAGGCAACACCCTTAGACCTATGGAGCCCTCTCTGCTGATCTCAGCAGATGTGTCTGTGCAGAAACACCCAATTCCAGACACCCTGTGCTGGTTAGGCTCTGGGGTTCCCTCTCAGTGGTTCCACTGAATCACAGAGCCTGGACCAGGAAGAGCTGGGGCCACTACCCCTAAGTGGCCTTGACATCTTAAAATTCAGAATATGAAGAAAAGGAATCCTAGACATAGTTAAATATGCAGCATGGATTTTTATGAGAGCTCATTTATTATTATTCAGAAAACCCATTGGTATGGTTCCTGTGCATCACCTGGACCTTTCTCACCAGGTAATCGCCAAGGACCAGATTCTAGGTTCTTCAAAGCAAAGACTGGAGTTTGTGGTCTAGCAATTTGGGACTAAGTAAGGGGACAATGAGATCATTTCAGAACATACAAGATGTATGTATGCTGGTGTGTATGGGGAGTTTCGAGACATAATATTAGGAAAAAGGTCATGTTCTGACCTTGAAGGTAGAGGACATCAACAGAAAAATGCATAAAATGAACCAAATGCAATAATCCACCCTAAGCAATAGCCCACAGTGCTGTGGATAGGACCGGAGAATTTGTCAAGTGGAGGTAACCCGAACAGATCCTTAGAGAGCCATGTGTGGAATGTTTAACACAGGCCAGGCTAAAACCTAATCAGTACTGTCAAAACTTGATTGAGGAGACTTCTATGCTATCACAACAGAAAGACATCGCCCACAAGGAACCCAAGAAAAAGGGACATTCAGGGAGCAGGAAGTCGCCACTGTTTATCCAGCTGCACTATTAGCAGAGCTTGGCAGGCCCTCTCTGTCCTTCCATGACACCTGGCACACACCTCTCTCGGAGCCCTTACCACACTCTGCCAGAAGCAGCATTTACAATTCTGTGTCCCCTACCCGGGGAGCCTTGAGAGCAGGGACTTCTGTATCCTCATCACCTTACACTGGGCCAGGCACACAGTCGACATCAATTATTTGCTGAATAAATTAAACAAATACACAAGAGCTACAATAAAGGTGACTAAGAGAGGACTGGGCAGACTTTCCTTAGGACCATCAATGCTGACTACCAGACTGGACAGACTACCCATAAGACCATCTACCCACTTTGCTCTAATTTCTTACTCATGAAGCATTGCTCTAATGACTGGTCTGCATCCCAGCTGGAGAGAATCTTGACCGACATGCCTGAATGCCTTCAATGCATCAGTTCAGCCAGAAAAAGCCCACTCCCTGGAGCACGGTCCTCACTGGAGAAACTAATGACGTGGACCAGATGCTGGAGAAGGCAATCCTCAGCCCCCACAAAGGTCCTGCTCGACTCTGAGTCTCTATTTGATGCTGGTGACCCACAAGCACACCTTCCCACTTCTTGGTCATTCTTTTTTGTATCACAGACAATGCTGAACCGAGATACGCAGCAGACGTTCCTGGGAGAGAGAGCCCTTCTCCCAACAAGTGGAGAATGCCAGAGCATCAAGCTCTTGGGTAGCTCTGCAGCTGGCTGAACAACTGCACTCAAACAGTGCTGATTTATGACCTGATGTCACCTAAAGGAAGATCTCTAATGGGTGCCACATGGTTCTGCTCTGTCTCATTAAACACGTGTGGTGAAGACTTGGTTGAGGACACAGAAAGCTTAGTTATCAAATGTACAAGTTGTATGAGGCTGGAAAGGCTTATTAATATCAGAGATGATAGAATCAAGATTTAAAACAATGAGACTACGGAACCAATACGATAACATTTAATAGGGATAAATGCAAAGTTTTACATTAGGTTGATAAAAAAAAACCCAGTGGTACAAGAAACACACTGGAAAACTTGGTTAGACTATAATGGAAAATTGACATAAAAGGCACTTGGGGACTTTCATGAACCCCAAACTGGTGTGATGTGGCTATAATAAAGCTAGTGCAAACCAAAGTTTTGCTAATAAAAATATAGGGTTCAAATTTAGGGGAAGAGAAAACAACCCAAATGTCCATTAACAGGAAAACTGTGGGATACTCATAAAATGGAGCACTACTCAGCAATAAAAACGAACAAACTACTGGTGTACACAACAAGGATGAACCTCAAAAGCATTACACTGAGTGAAAAGAGATAGACAAAGAAGAGTATGTGCTGTATGATTCCATGTATATGAAGTTCAAGAACGGATAAAACTAATCTTTGGTGCTAGAAATCAGAACAGTGATTGCCTATGAGGGTGGGCACTGACAAAAAGGGCCAAGAAAGAACTTTCTGGTATGATGGAAATGTTTTATATCTTGATTGAAGTATCGGGTTCAGGGTGTATACATTTCACAAAACTTGTGGAATTGTACTTTTAAGACGTGTGCATTTCACTCCATGTAAATTTTATCTTCATTAAAAAACATCTAGGTGTCCGTTCATCAATTGTAACAAATGCACCACTCTGGCGAGAGATCTTGATAATGGGGGAGGCTGTGCATGTGTTGGGGCAGGGGGATATATGGGAAATCTCTGTACCTTCCTCTCAGTTTTGCTGTGAACCTAAAACTACTCCAAAAAAGTAGTCTTTTTAAAAGCAAAACCAAAAAACATCTAGGGGAGCAGCCCAGTGTGTTCTGTGTTGGTCAGAGGGCATCTGAACCACGGGGTGCAGCTCTGAACACACACATTATAGTAATCTTTGACCAACCCAGAAGGCAAGCACCCAGAACGGGGAGGAGTTTGACAGCTCCACCACACAAGGATCCGATGGAGAAACTGACTGTGTTGGGCCTGGATAAAGAGATTCTTCCAGGGAAAGAGGAGCAGACTTCTTTCTTACAGGCATCTGACCTGGGCGAGAGCATCTATAGGGAGCCAAGACTAGCCTTTTCTGGGTGAAGGGAGATGTGCATATTCTTTGGAAGGAAGACCTAAACAAACTCAAAGGTCCCTTTCAGTCTTAAATTCTACATATCAGGAGAGTCACGATAAAGTTCTTTATTTAAGGACAACTACACATTAAAAGTCAGAACTACCACTGATTGAGCCCTCATTGTATTAGGCCTTCTGGGATAGTGATACGATTTATATATTACTCTATAGTATTGCTACATAATAGTATATATGCTAGTGATATAAGTATGCTAGACATTCTGGAACAGTGATCCATTCATCATTTCTACTGCTCACAATGGCCCTGCAACGTAGTCATCATTATACTCACTTTCTCTCCATTTTACAGATAAGAAGATGCAGACTCAGAGAGAGCACAGAGCTCAGTTTGGCAGAACTGGGATTTAAAACCAAACTGTCTGCAAAGTGAGAGTTCTTTTGTCTACAACTCCTGCTTCTTATCTTTGGTAAGCTTTGTGGTCTTGATTCTAAGTGTATGTTAGGATCCTTGCAGTAAATGGCAATACCTGTGCCATTCAAAATATGCTTTAAATTTATTGACTGTTGCTGGTGAAGCTAAGTTTGGAAAATGAAAGTTTGGGCAGAGAGCAGAGGGGTGAATGGAATCCTGTCTGCACAATGCTTTTTCCTTCCTGAGGACGGTCTGAACACAGGGTTCGCAAGTGGGGCCTCGGTCCATACCAGATTTTTCCCAGAGACATGGATCACCATGACTGGCCTCATCCAGGTGGGACGACAGAGGGCCCTCCCTAGCTGGGGGCAGTGCTGGTGAGGGCACCTGCTTCCTGCCATCTCAGTGATGGTGACCCTTCTGTCCCACTCTGCACTTGCACCTTACCTCATCCTTGAAGAGTCGTGCTTGGTCCTCACAACCTGTCAAGGTCTGAACGAAGCCGAAGACCTTGGAAACCAAAAAAGACATGTTGCCAAGGGGACAGGGACTTGGAAGTGTAGGAGAGAGGTGGGCCTACAGGGCCACGGTGCCTTCTGGGCTGTGACAGGGTTGCTTTTTCTTATCAGCCTAAGAGGATCCTGTGTCTCTGTGCTGTTGGGTGTGCAAGGCGAGGTCCCTTGCTCTCGAGGTCCAGAGCTGAAGCCTGTCTCTCCTGCTGGATTTCCAGCTGGACTAGAAGCATGTCCCTCTCTCTATCCACCAGGATGGGCCTATCAGACAGTCTCTAGTCAGCCCTGCTGGGCAGCTAGGAGGGACTATGGACCAGAGGGATGAGCAGGAGGTAGTGTCAGGAGCAGCATCAATGTCAGGAGAAGCACAGGGCTCTGCCTGGTGAGGGCCTTTCCTGAGCCTTTGTGTCAGGGTGTGATGAGAGGGCAGAGTAGGGGAGGAGGAAGAGGGAGGGGCCCTTGCTCCTCACCTCATCAATGGTCCACTTGGCGACTGCTGAGGCCGAGATGCCCGCCACTCCTGGCAGGAGCTTGCAGTGCTGCTCCCAGCACACTGAGAGTGAACGGTCAGGGTGGGCCGACAGGGCTGACATGAAGAGGGACTGGTGCATGACATCGGTAGTTAGTGCTAGAAAGCAGAGGCAGAGGCTGGCAGGCCGATGCTAAGCACTAACCTAGTCCACGAAGCTTGCTCAAACCCAAGCCACTCAGGAGGACCATAGCCCCCTTCTGATAGCCTTGCAGAGCCAAGAGCGTGATCTAGATCTGACTCTTCATTCGGTGCTCACTCCTAGTAAAGGGGATTCCTCACTTTACAGACTCTTAGGCCGGCTGTTTGGAATGACTCTACCCCCATCTCTCTGAGGCCGCATCACCCTGGGCCCTACAAAGCTGTTCTCTTAGAGATCCTGCAGGACCCTTGAAAACACCATTCTTCAGATACCTTGCATCAAAATGGCCCCCAATATCCAAGCAAGCTCAGCCCCGATATCAGAAGCCCATTCTGTTTGCCCTCCTTTTCCTACGACATTTTGGGACCTGACCAACTCTCGCAGAGCTAGGGTGATTCTGTTTGAGAATCAGAATCACCCTGCCCAGTCTGCAGCCCACCCCTCTAGCCGCTGCCACTGCCTCAAGCTCCATTCCTCTCTCTTACTCCTGCAGCCTGGTCTGCTTCGCTACCTGCATACCGGCCCCGTGCCTACTCGGGTACCTAGAACGTGATCCATGGTCCACCTGCCAGCTCCCTCATTGCCTGTCACTCTGCTTCCTGATCTGTTCTCGGAATCCCCGGCTCCTGACCTCCAGCCTCAAAGCTGCTCTACGATCTGATGAGTGACGCTGTTCTGCTTGGCCTCCTCCTTGGCCAGGCCTGGTGCTCATCCACTTGGACTTCACCTACCTCTGGTGGCTCCGACAAACCTTGCCCCCACCCACCTTACCAGCCTTGGCTGGCCTTGGGCCATGTGGCCACTATGCCACAGGACCCTGCCTCTGCCCATAGTCCAGAACTCTTTCCTGTTCACTGGGTGCTAATTCAAGCCACGTGGATGCAGCACCCCGCTGCCCTCTTCCCACAGGCCCTCCCCTGCTCACCCCAGACTGTCCTCCCCTCTCTCCCCTTAGCTTCAGCCTTTCACCCTGACTCCTCTGCACCTCGCAGTCATCCTCAGAGCCTCTCAGACCCCCTTACCAGCCCCACTGACTGTTGTGTAACTCTGCCTGCCTGCTGCCCTCTCTGCTCATCAGCCCAAACCTGAGCTCCTGCTCACACTGCGAACAGCTCCACCTGCAGCACCACGGAGGAGCCGGCTCCCCTGCGCAGCTCAGCCAGCTCTCTCAGGACCCACCGGGGTGCATCCAGACCTCCCATGACAGTTACCACCACTAGCACCTTATTTATCTGGTCATAGGTTTGGCCTCCTGTCCTCCCAGGTGCCCCTCTTTGAAGCTCTCTGTCTGGTTCTCTATGCACCGTGGGGAGGGATTTGGGGGACAACGCCAAGTCTATAGGGAGCTTTGCTCATCTTTCTTCCCAGAACACGGGACAGCAGCTCTCACAGGCAGTCACAGTGTCTTATCTAACTGCAAATCATTTAGCTGCAGGTCAGAAACAGTTCCTCTTGTTGTTGTTTTTTTTTTTTTTTTGGCTTATAAAAACAGATATTTATTTATCACGGTCTGGAGGCTGGGAAGCCCAAGATCAAGGCACCAGCAGATTCAGTGTCTGGTGAAGGTCCACTTCCTGGTTACTAGACGGCTTTTTTCTTGCTGTGTCCTTAGACGGCAGAAGGGGTGAGGGAGCTCTCTGGAGCCTCTTTTATAAATGCACTAATCCCACACATGAGGGCCCCACTCTCATGACCCAATCACCTCTCAAAGTCCCCCACCTCCAACTACTATCACATTGGGGATTAGGTTTCAACATACGAATTTTGAAGGGATACAAATAGTCAGTCTATAGCACTATTATTATTAGAAGTTAGCAAACATTTGCCGGATAGGCATTGTGGAAAAGCTGGGGGAGCCATGGGAAAAAACAATACACAGCGTAGTGGAAGACACACATGGGACTCAGAATCAGAGACAGGGTTAGTTCCTTCCTATCTTGCTCTTTAATCCTGGGCAAGTCACTTAACACGGGTCTCAGTTTCCTCATCTGTAAATGAACTGGTTGGGTAAGGAAATCTCTGTGGTTTCCTCTTGTTCTTTCAAAGAGCTGACACTCATGGGCTTGAACAGCCCTGTGAGCAGGACAGGCACAATGGAGTCCTGTCCTCTCCAGGCAGCCTTCCTCACGGAGCTGTTCACCAGCAAACCCCAGAGCCCAACTGAGGAGGTCACCCATAGATGTGTCAGAAGTCTCTTCTGGAACAAAATCCAGAGTGACCAGTGTCCCCTCTGTGCGAGAGCCAGCTGGTAGAGCAAGGGAACCCTGCACAGAGGTCGGAGACCTGGGCTCTGTCCCCTGCTCTGTCCCTGAAGTGACTTGTGTCCTTGGGTGAGTCCTCTCTGGGTCACAGCCTCAGTCTCTGGAAAGACTTAACTTCCGAGTTCTCAGGGTAATTCTGGAATGAACACGGTAGGCAAGCACCCTCTGGAGGTCAGAACAGTGGCCCTGCAATGGAAGCTGACCAGGTGTACCATGGGTGGACAGAAGAGGTGCCCGCTGCATTCCCACCCCCGGAAGTCCTCACTCTGAGGGCCTGGAGGCTGGCAAAACCCTCTTCACTCAGGCCTGAGGCTGCAGGAACAGCCTGCTGTTTCCACCAAGAGGAAATAGTACAGAACAGCAGCAAGAGAGAGTCAGGCAAGAGATCAGGATTAATAACAATCCCCACAGGTTACTAAGCACTTTATATGGATCATCTCATTTAAGCCTCCCACCCCCTTTTAAGATTGGCACTATTATCATCAGTATTTTACAGATGAGGGAGCTGAGGCTCAGAGAGGTGGCGTCACCTGCCCAAGGTCTCACAGCCTGTAAAAGGCAGTGTGACTTCAGGGCTATCCTTTTAATCACCAGCTGTACACTGCCCAGGCTACAGAGGCTGTTCCTGAAGAACTGGAATAGCTTGGGTCCTGCCCAGAAACCGCGCAACGAACCAGGTGATTTCTCAAGGTCTCTTCTTGCCTTAAAATGATGTGCATTCAACTCAACCGAGGCAAGGTCCTCAGCATCCCTGCTGTGTATCAGGCCCTGGGCCAGCAGCTAAAGATGCAAGATGAAGTTTTCACCCAATGGAGGGCTCAGTCACCTTGTCCCTCCCGTTGGAGCATGCTATGGGCTGAACTGTGTCCCCCCAAATTCATATGTTGAAGTCCTAACCCCCAGAACCTCACGATGTGACTGTATTACCTTTAAAGGGTGATTTTAAAGAGGTGATTTCAAAGAGATGATTAAGGTAAAATCATGCCATTAGGGTCGGCCCTAATCCACTCTGACTGGTGTCTTTACAAGAAGAGGAAATTTAGACACACAGAGAGACACCAGGCGCGCATGCACGCAGAGGAAAGACCACGTGAGGACACAGCGAGAAGGTGGCTATCCACAAGTCAAGGAGAGAGAGGAAACCAAACCCACTGATACTTGGATCTTGAACTTTTACCTCCAAAAGCATGAGAAAATAAATTTCTGTTGTTTAAGCCCCTCAATCTGTGGTGCTCTGTTATGGCAGCTGAGCTGACTCAGACACAGGGTGGAGAAGTGAACTGACATTTGGGTTAGTGCTTTATGTCTATGAAACCAGCAACACGTGGCAGAAGTCAGACCCAAGTTTAAATCCCAGCACTGCCCTTACAAGGTGAATGACCGTGGGCAAACGACTTCACTCTCTGAGCCTCCCATGCCTCTTCTCTAGAAGGAGATAATGATATCCACATTACAGGGTGCTTGTGAGAGTCATCCACAGTAGATGTAGAGCACCTGAAACAGTGCTTTGCCCACAGCAGGTACTCAGTAAATGGCAGTAGTAGCTACTATTATTTCAGGTAGTTGACACCTAAAAGGCAGGTATTATTCATGTTTTCAAATGAGGAGACTGAGGCTCAGAGATGTTAAGTGACTTGCTCGAGATCACACAGCTAGAAAGTGACAGCCATGGCCTCCCTCCCCGGAAGCCTAGAATTGGGAAGAGCAGAGCCCAGAGCATCACCCTGGGCCATAGTAGAGAACCAGAGCCCCAGAGAGGCTCGTGCCTTTTCCACAGACGCACAGCAAGGCTGTGGGTGAAATGGGGCTGGAACCTAAGGTCACTTAAGGCCCCATCCTGTGCTCCTGCCACTGCTCTATGCTCCCCAAGTATCTCAGCCTTTCTTCCAGCTTCTCCTGCTCTGGGCCCTCGGGGCACTCATCCTACCACCAATTACTAAGCACTCATGTGAACACTTTGTGGAGGGGAGTAGGTGACCCGGGACTCACTCGAGAAATCTTCCTGCAGGATCTTCCGATACTTTGGAGGGCGTCCAATCCTGGAGAGAGAGGGACCAGGTCCGTGGCAGGGAATCAGTGCCTGGCCTGGCCCAAGAGGACACGAGGCCCTGCACCCTTGCCCTCCGCACCGGCCATGATGGCGAGGCTTCTTCCTTAGGGAGAAGCCCGAGAGGTTCCTCTTACGGGCCGAGGCCTCTGTGTCGGAGAGCTCCGCCTTTAGCCGGCTCTGGTTCCTCTCAGCCAGTGGGCAGCCCGAGAGGCAATGGTGAGCTGTGAACTTGCCTGTGACGTGGCCAGAGCCGTCACAACCAGGAGTGGGGCACTTCCTGGGGAAGAAGAAGGCTTAAATGAGGCTGAATCCACTGGTTCCCACTCAGCCCTTCCCAACCCCAGCCCCATTTGGAGACTGTCTTGGTGAACCCTGCTCGGCCACACACAGTAGGTGTACAACAGACCCTCTCTGAACAATGCCCGGAAGTCTCTCAGCAGGAGCCCTTCACTCACCGGTGGTGAAAGCTGTATTTGGAGGTCCTGGTGTGCGGTAGGCTCCGATAGCTGAGAGGGGGATAGCCACCAGGGGAGGCAGAGCTGGGCTCTCTGGGTCCTGGAGGAGCAGGAAGAAGAGTCAGCATCCGGTCCTGGTGTGGGGATGGAGGGCAGGGAAGGAAGTTTCCTGGGGAAAGTCAGCACTAGGAACTAGTTCCCAGGTACAGGGGCACTGAGCTAGGCTGACACCATTTCCTGCTACTGGCTATCCGCCCCTCTTTGGGGAATGAGGCCTTGGCTCTCATACACTTTGTTGAAACCAGCAGGCCATGTCCTCTGTCTCAGAGAAGGAGAACCCTCGGGGAAAAGCTCCAGTCAGAGCCAGTGGGGCACAGCTGTACCTTAGAAACCACATCAGGCAGATTCACGCTATTCTCTGTGTTTGTTTCCCTGTTTCCATCCCCAAGACTCTGGTAACTTTTTTAGGCTCTGCTCATGCTTGGAGAACAATTGAGAAGGATCAACACGCCATGTGAGACATGTGGTGGCAGCAGGGAAATAAGAGAGGGAATCCTGGGGGTGAGAATTGGGGCTGAGCAGTCCAGAGACCTGACCTCTAACCCCTGCCTGCATGGGGACAGGGTTTTATTGAAGGGAGCCAGCATTTCCTTACCACCCCAATGTATGCTCTGTGTGGCTCTGCTAGATGCTGAGAGAACTCCCAGGTGTCTAACCACCTTCTAAGCATATGCTCCCAAGTGAGCTTGCCCCTTCACACCTCAATACCCCAAACCTGACAACTGGGGAAGCCATAAGCACTGCTTAGTATAGCAGAGAGGGAGGATGGGGGATCCCAGAGCTCACTGTGGGCACGGGAGCCTGATGGTCAGAGCCCCCAGGGCAAGCTATAGGAGGGAAGTTGTCAGAGCTCGGGGGGCGGGGGCAGACATCAGTAGGAAAGGGTCAGTGCCCTAGGGGTACACACGGAGAGGAGGTTGCAGGGGATGCCCTGTCTTGGAGCACCAGCCCGCGGGGTGGATGTCTGGGTGGTCGGCGTCGATCCAGAAGTCATAGGCATGACTCCAGCCATCAAAGTGGAGCTGGGGAGGAAAGGCCCGTGGAGGTCAGGCATTCCTCGTGGAGGGAGACCAGCTCAGCCGGGAGGTCCTCCAGGCTCCAGCTCTCCCCATCGCTGGGGCCTGTCAGAAGCAAGATCCTGGAGTGGAAGAACCAAGGGGCCAACCCCACAATAATCGATCTTGGCTGCCACATTTTCCAAGGGCTTCACTCATTAAGTTACTAGCATCTCCCATCAATCTGTGGGTAGGACAAGGATTATCAGGCTCATTTTACAGGTGAGACAGTTAAGGCTTAGACAGTGGCAATGACTTGCCAAGCCCACAAATGTAAGTCCCATATGGGGCTAAAATGAGATCCAAGATCTTCAGCCTCAAATTTAGAGCTCTCTTCCCTACAACGTGCAGCCTTCCTTATGTCTGGCTCATGCCATGCCCTTGACCTCTACCCACTGTAGAGAATTCCTGCCCAATCGGCCTGTCCACTCCCCCAGCCCGAGGGTCCTGAGCCACCTTTATCCGATGGTCCTCCACGTCCTCCACGCTGGCCACACGAATCAGGGCTGGGTTCCTGCGGTCCACGGCCTCCAGCTTCATGTTGACCAGGAAACTGTGCGGGGGGCGCTGCAGGGGGACAGTGGCCTTCAGGCCAAGGGCCAGCTCAGCAGACCTGAGGCCCCAAGAAGGGAGCCCAAGTGCTGTGCCTGGGGAACTGTGGCCTGCCAAAGGTGGAGGCCAGGGCCCCATTCTGGCTGGCTGAGGCTCCACACCTTCCTGAGCTCAGCTCTGGGAGCAGGGAGAGCCGACTCACCACCTTGAAGGCCCAGGTGGGCACAGCAGAGGCCCCAGTTTCTTCCAGATATTTCTCCCAACAGAAGCTATCAGGGTCTGGGTAGTCTGGAGGAGAGGAGGAGAGCAACGTCTAGGCACCCAGGCATACAGGGGGAGCTCTCTGCCCCCAAGCAGGACCAGGAGCATGGAAGAGAGAGGCCCTTGGAGTACCATCTCCTCCCACATCACCACAGCCAGCTCCCTGGAGGCGGTCCTGAGGCAGTGGGGTGCTAATCAGAAGCAAGCACATCTCCACCTCACAGTTCACAGGGCTATCTGGCAACCCTGGCTCCCATCCCCCTCCTTGGCTGTTGCTCCAGCTCCAGCCCAGCCACATCTGAACCTCTGTCATATGTAGGCCAGCCCAATGCTCCCAAAGGGAAGGACATACTGTCTTCACTCTGGACTCCAGCTCCCTTGCTGAGGGAGTCACCTAACCTCCTTCCCTTAAACCTCAGTGGAGTCAGGGGTTGACAGGCCTTCCCTAGAATCAAAGGATTCTCAACTCCCAGCAAAGAAGATGAGGCTCCAGGACACATCTGTCCCCTCACCCTGACCCTGAAGCCCCAGCTAATGAGGTACTGGTAAGGGATCAGGGGAGAGGAGCACGGGGCCAGGCCCGGGAAAGGGCGTTTGCTCAGGCTGCAGGGTCACCTTGTGGAGGGGTGAGGGTCTTTCCTTGCTTCTGGCACCAGCCCACTGGGTGGATGTAGGGGCTGCTGGGATCACACCTGCAACCCAAGAATACTTCACTGTCCCAAGTGAATCTTCGAGGCCCTGAGCCTGCCGTCCTATGACAGCATGGCTCAGGGCCACCATCACCCTACTTCCTAGTGAGAGCTACACAGATGGCTGATGAGAAAGTCAGAAAATCACAGCATTAACTAAAAACTCTAATGCCACCATAATATCTAAGGGAAAATCAGGAGCACAGGGGTTTGCTCATCTTAACTTGGGTATTTTTGGATGAAACATTTAATAGTGCATTGTGTTTCTTAGGATATAGACCAAATCCACAGAACAATTACACCCTAGAGCAAATATGAAGTCAGGACTGGGCCGGGCCACATGGTGCCCGAGGTCTGAAAGCATTGCCTCCCGCCTCCTGCCATCCCCTCACCCCTGAGGCCAAGTCTGGGCCCTCCCACTACCAGTAGTCGTAAGTATCGTCCCAGTCGTCAAAGTGCACCAGGAAGCGGCTGTCCACCACATCGGTCACACTGGCCACACAGACGAGGGATGGGTTCATGCGGTCGACAGCCTCCAGCTTCATGCCCACCTGGAAGCCCAGGGGTGGGGGACTCTGGGGGCAAGAAGAGGGGCTGCCACGGCCAGGCCCAGCCCGGCTATGCTAGCCCAGAAACCACTGGCAAAGGAAGAAGTAGGTTCCCTAGGAATCATGCCCAGGGGCTAGGCAGGGGGAAGGCAGAAGAAATAGGCTGGAAAAGAGGGTCCCTCCAGGGCAGAATCATAGCCCCAGCCCCAGGCCACTTAGGAACTTCTGGCCTTCAAGATGCACTCAGAGGAAGCCTCACTGTGGCGGAAGGTGAGTGACTGGCAGGGGGCCACGCATTCACCCAAAGAGTGTGCCAGGTGGAACACAAGCCTCCCCCACCCTATGAGGCAGGGGTCACCATCCTCATTTTATAAGTAACTTGTCCAGTACCACAATGCTAGCCAATGGTGGAGCTTGGGTTTAACCAGTTTGATTTAAAAGTCTGCATTCCCTGTCACCACAGTGGGTAGAACCCCACCAGTCACCTGAGAACCTGACAGTATGGTCTTGGGGCCCGACTGGAGTGGGGAGTAGCTGCCCCTTCCCAAACAGCATGGCCCACCAGAGTCCTGAACTTCCGATACGGCAATATTTCTCATGGGGGTTCCCTACACCTCTCAGACCTTTCGCTCGGGATTAGGAGATACTTTAGCTGCTGGATAAAGCTGTCAGTTGCCTTGAACAGAGAAAAAGACAAGGGGTGAGTTGTTGGGACTGAATGGGAGAGCCTCAGTGTTGGGCAAAAGGAAGGAACAAGCAGCTCCCAGAATAGAGGCATGGACCTTACACCAAGAACTGCCGAGCAGACCAAAGCAAGAAACAAGAACAAGGACCTCTCGCTGCCCAGGCTGAGACAGTAGGCTGGGGGCTCCGAGGGGATGTGCAGAGGGGAAGATTTCTGCAGTAGGGAGGAGGCAGGGAATGGGGTGGGGGGGGTGGATCTATAACTGGCTTCCCCTTCTGGCCCTTGGCCTGCCCAGCACAACCCTCCCATTTGGTGTGAGAAACCAGAACAAAGCTGAGAGGACTGGTAGATGAGCTCTCCTCTGATGAGCAGATACCCTGGGCCAGCTGCAGTGACTCTGTCCCAGGGGGCGGGTGTCCACTCTGGCTCAGGGGCACTCACGTGGCTCTGGCTCACAAACAGGTGCTTGGGGGCAGCCTGGGCTCTTGTGCTGCGCAGGTACTGGCTCCAGCTGAACTCCTCCTCCTTGTAACCTAGGCCCCTCGGGGGGGGACGGACAGAGAGCCGTGCAGACAGATGCTGGGCTGTGGCGAGGGCACCCCACGCAGAAGCAGCAGAATCAGGCAGGCCTGATGAGCCCACAACCCTCAAGAACCTGCCCAGGGGCACCCTGCCACAGCAGGACACAACCTGAGTGGACATTCACAGGGCAAGGGCAAAGCAGAAGCCCTTGGGCCAAGTCATGCAGGATGTGATGAAGAGGCTGGCTGTGCAAGCAGGAACAGGGAAGGAGAGATCACGGGGAAGAAGAGGAGGGTCTGAGGGCTCACTGTCTCACAGACCGACCCCGCTAGGCCTTACCTTTGGGGGGCTGCAGCTTGTGTCCAGTCTTCTCGAACCAGCCAGTGGGGTGAATGTCAGGGGAGTTGGCATTGATCCAGAAGTCGTGGCACTCGGAATACCCATCAAAGTGCAGTCGTAGGCGGTAGCCACACACCTAGCCCCATGAGGGGAAATCAGAGGGACTCTGATGCCAGCAGACACCCACTCCCTTTCTCTAACCTCTCCTGGCTCAGCGTGGGGGTCTCAGGGGCTCTGATGCTACTGATGTGAGCAGGTTCCCCACCCCACCTCTCTTTGCTCCAGGTTCCCTTCCACCCTGAACTTTGCCCCATGCTCTCCCATCCTGCAATGAAAACAGTTCACGTACTCATGAGCCCTGAGTTCTGGCTGCAAGACAGGGAGATTCGCTGACATCCTCCTGCCCTTTCGAGCCCTGCTCAGAACACCGAGGGCACCTATCAAGGCTCAGGCTTGCTTAGGGCCCCGACGACCTTTCCTTCTGCCACCTTCTCTCACTGCTCCCACTCATACACTCTGCTCTGGCCTCACTGAGCTAACAGCAGTTCCTCAAACATGCGGCCTGGTCCATACCCAGAGCCTTTGCCCACTTTGGTTCTTCTGCCTGGAACACCCTACTCATTCACAACTCATCTCTCAAGACTCAGCAAAGGAGGCCCTTCCTCCATGAGGCTTCTCCTGCCCCGTGGGTGCCTCTCTGCTCACGTCTGTCGCCACCCCTATGGTATGTCGCTGATATGTTTATCTGGCTGATTCCCACACAACTGTGAGCTCCAAGAGGATGAGGACCTTATAGGACTCCTGCCAACATCCCCGCCCTCGGGATCTCTCCTCCTCAAGTCCCCCCAGACTGAAGTATACACCTACTCAGTACCATCAGCCGCCCTCACACTTTGTCTGGTTTTTGTTTGTCTTTCAGCTTTCTATGTGTTCCACCTTAATCCCCTACTAGATTATGCGCTTTCTGAGGGCAGGGCAGTGTCTCCCTCATCTGAGTCCAGGCTCTCCCTGCCCCCAGCAGGCCCATCAATCTATCCTGAGAGACATCATCAGAATGGCGGTGTGGGCCTCAGCTCACCTCGGCCACAGTGAGGATGAAGTACATGGACGGGTGCTGAGGGTCGATGCCTTCCAACTTCATGCCCAGTCTGAAGCCATTCTTGTTATGAGGGATCGCCTGGTACTGTCAACGCACAGATTGGAGAGGACCCAGCTTCCATCCAGCCTTATCCTTGCCTAGTGGGCTTGGGGTGAAGGAGCTGCCTTTAGGTCCCACCCGCCTGGTACTACCAAAGGGGTTATTATTTGGGGGTCTTTAGTGCAGGGGTCCAGAGGGGGGTGGATTAGCTCCAAGTCCCTTTAAAAATGTGGGCTGGGGCTGGCCCAGTGGCGCAAGCGGTTTAGTGCGCGCACTCTGCTGCGGCGGCCCCGGGGTTCGCCGGTTCGGATCCCGGGCGCGCACCGACGCACTGCTTGTTGGGCCATGCTGTGGCGGCATCCCATATAAAGTAGAGGAAGATGGGCACGGATGTTAGCTCAGGGCCAGTCTTCCTCAGAAATAGAAGAGGAGGACTGGCATGAGACGTTAGCTCAGGGTTGATCTTCCTCACACAAATAAATAAAAATGTGGGCTGAGTCAGGGCTGGACTTAAGGGCTCCCCCTCACCCAAGTCATGGAAAGATCAGCATAGAGAATTGAGTAGAATTCAAAAGTCTGCAGGCCCAGTGATGGGTGAGCCTGGGTCCCACCTCCCCATTTCTTCCCACCCTGGAAATCCCTTACAGTGAGCCCTTTTCTACTCCAGGCCCCTAACCAGTCTCTTCTCCTTCCATTCTGCCAGGCCGTTAAGGGACGTTAAATGCAGAAAACACCAGAAGGCCTGCGTTTGGTGGAAAGTCCCTTGACTGGGAATACAAGCTTGTCCTAGGTGGAAATTGTCTCACTCACGTCCTGGAAGAGGCTGACAGGGGCAGTGATGGCCTTCTGCTCCTCGAGGTAGGACTCCCACGACCAGCCTTCCTTCTCCCCTGATGCTGTGGACAGCAGACAGACAGGCTGACTCCCAGGCTGCTCCTGATGTACTATTTCCTCAGTTTCTTCTGACTCAACTCTACCTTAACCTTCAAAACAAACCTTTGTCTGTGGTCACATGCTGTCCCCTGGTCCCACTCAGCCATGATGGTGCCAGACGCGGAGGGCTCACACCTCAGGTGAAACTCAGTCTCAGGTGAAGCTACACCAAATTCCATCTGCGCCTCCCCTACCCCCAGGCCACTGCCAGAAAAACCCTGGATTATATAGCAACTAACTGAGCTTACAAAGTCTCAGCTACAGAGGGACCCTGTTCTCTGACAGAGCTGAGTGACAAGTCCTGAGCAAGAGGACTTAATCACAGCACCACCTAAGCTCACAGGGAAAGAAGAGGAAAAATAGAAATGAGAGAGAAAACATGAAAAGAAGAAACAGAGAAGAGAGGACACACGGAAATAAGAAACCCTCTTTTTCCGATTCTTCTTCCTCTGAACACTTACAAGCACACACAGAGACACAAATATGCGTTATGTGTGTGTGGTGTGCCCACCGAGTAGAGACTGATTCCACAGCCCTCCCAGACATAGACAGGCTGTGCACACAAACACATACACGCACACGCTGTGGTCAGGGCCTACAGCCCTGGGACTGTCGGGGTCCTGGGGAGGGGGAGATGAATTCCCCTGCAGAACCTTCAATTTAGCCTGAGATGGAGACCTGGCCTCCAGCACGGAGGAGAAACACCCTTCAAAGGCCAGAATAGCTGGTGATGTGTAAGGTAGGCCCATAAGACCAGCCTGAGCTGCCTTCAACCGAAGGCCACAGGTAATTATAGAGGCACCAACTCGCAAAAATCAATTCACATCCCTTGGGTATATACCTCCAGCTTCTTCTAGGAACTTCTGTCTCAATTTCGTTTTCTGTAAAATGCAGATAACTTCACCTACCACAGAAGGTCATCACGAGGAGTAAGATGTAACTTACTGTGAGTGACAGATCCTTATGAAATACAAAGGGCTGGACTCATGTCATGGGTCCTTCCTAGGTCTCCACTAAGTCTGTCTGATCTGGATTCTAGCTCTGCCTTGCTGTGGCTCACTTTCCTATTGCCCTGGACATTTGGGTTTGCAGTGATTTGTCACTCAGGAAAAAGCTTTTTGCTTTAGTTGGAACCTAAGTGGCTATAAGCATCTGTCTAGCAGCTGCCAAAATTCCCCAGTCACTGTACTAATCCTTGAGATCCCAAACATCTGACCCATTTGGACCAAAGCAAATATTTCCTTCATCAACTGATTAACCAACCCATCGAATTCTCAGAGACCGACACCCACACCCCAACCTAGAGTACATCTCTTCCTACTGTTCTTTGTCCTGAGTGAAACCTGGATTGTTGCTTAGAACAAATCACCTACTATATTCCCTCAGGAAACTCTCAGTTCTTCCACTCAGTCTTCATCCAGACTTACTGAGTAACGGAAGGGGGAGAGAGTAGGCTTCAGGATGCCAGGCTTAGCATCATCCTGCTGTTTCTTGCTCCCAGAATTCCACATCGTCCTGCATACTACTGCTTTCCTTTTTCCAAATCACCACTACTATTACAAGCCCTTCCCAGTACCCATCTCTTTCTCCCTAGATGGCACCCTTCTTTGGCTTCACTCTTTCTGAACCCTAATGTAAGCTACTTGTCAGAGTTCTCATCTCAGGCACCTCTGCCTCTCCTTGGCTTTTAACTCCGAGTTCATCTCCCGTTAGCCATACTCCAACATGGCCAAGCTCTAAGACCCCCATGCCACAGCAGAGACCTCTGACCTCTTCATTTGCCATCCCTTACCTTTCTATCGCCCATCACTGCCACTTCCCTCCCTGGGCCTTTATTTGGATTCTCTCCCTAGTTATACCACATAAGAAATATAGTCTTTACAGTTTACCATCACACACCACTTCCTTTTACCTTAACCATTCCTTTTACCATTAAGTGGTACCTCCTGTGTGCCACGGCTGCTACCAGAAACTGGGGGTCAAGGATGTCTTAGAGACTTCACATGCATAGTCTCTTTTAATCTTCACAATGTCTTGAGATGATAGGTAGGGCTCGTGGTAATCTTTCTCACAGATGAGAAGGGAGATTAAATGTAATCCACTGGAGACAGACCTGACCACTAAACCTTTTAGTAACGACTAGATTTCCTCCCCGACCAAGCCTCCAGCCTCCTCCAGTTTCCTGCATCCTTTTTCCCTGGTGAACAATGGGCTGAGCCTTTAGGTACATCCCCAACCCCAAATAAGTCCCAAAGCTCCCGTGTATGGTTGTGCAATTTGTGCACTGTACATAGATGCCCAGCCAAGAGGGTGGACGGGGGCTGAAACCCAGCATGGGGTCCTTGCAAGCCATGTGGCTGAGTCTACTATGAAGAAAGGTTGCCTTTTTCTAATTGGTCTGCTCAGAATGGGCACCTTTTCACAATTTGTACAAAGGCACCAGAAAGGCTAGCTGTGGCACTGATCCTCTCTTGACTTCCAGAAATGCTCCTTTGCTTATTCCTGCTTCCTTAGACTAGATGCTCTTGGCTAACACTTTCTCCAGCAAGCTCAGTCTGTCCAAAGCCAAGCTCGTAACTTCTCTGCCAAAGCTTGAGCCCCTTTCGGTATTCTCTCCCCTAATCAATGGCACCACCATCCATTCAGCCAGTCACACAAGCCGGAAACTTGGAGGGGATCCTTTCCGTCTCCTTTTTTTATTCCCCAGCCTCCTTTAGTCGGAGTCCCGCTGACTCCATCTCCTGGGTGTCTCTTGACTGTATCTCCACCTCTCCCCGGTCACTGTCCTTGCTGCTTTGAACCTAACCCAACAGCCTCTGAATTGATCTCTCTGCCTCAGACCCAGGCAACTGCCAGAACATCTCTAAAATAAAAACTGGTTTGTTATTTCTTTGCTTTAAGGTCCACAACGGCTTCTGATTTCTAACCAAAAACCAAAAATCCAGACACCTTTCCACAGCACACAAAGCCCTCAGTGAACTAGCCACAGCCTATCACTCCAGCCTCATCATGCATCTCCATGTTCCTGTGTGCTTCTCTGCCTTTGCACATGTTGATCCCTCTGCCTCAAAGATCCTGCCCCACTCTGTCCCATCCTATTTTTTTCTCATCCTTCAAGACCCAGCCATAGCTCCAGCACCTAGCATAGGGTTTTACACAGAATAGATGCTCAACAAATGTTTGTTAAATGAATGACTAGAAGGATGGATGGATACATGGATGAATGGATGGAATGTCACCCCACCTATCCCATGAAGCCTTCCTTGACTCCATGAGGCAGAGTTTGTTCTGTGACAGTCTTTTGTATCTACATACCTCAAACACAATACTTATTACACTATTACATAATAACTACCTATTTACATGTCTCTCTCGCCAACTAGACTGTGAGCTCTTTTTTTTTTTTTTAAAGATTTTATTTATTCATTTTTCCCCCCAAAGCCCCAGTAGATAGTTGTATGTCATAGGTTCACATCCTTCTAGTTGCTGTACGTGGGACTCGGCCTCCCGTTGGACGGAGAAGTGGTGCCTTGGGGCATGCCCGGGATCCGAACCCGGGCCGCCAGCATCAGAGCGCGCTCACTTAACCGCTAAGCCACGGAGCCGGCCCTAGACTGTGAGCTCTTTAAGGGCTGGCATTGTGTTTTGCTTACTCTAAACTCTTAGCATCTAGCCCAGTGCCTGGTACACAGTAGGTACTTAGTGTTTGGTAAATAAAAGAACAATAACAGAAATACTATATATCAAAAACTGTGGGATGCAGCCAAAGCAGTATTGAGAGGGAAATGACAGCCTTAGACGAACATATTAGAAAAGAAGAAAGGCCGAAATTAATTAAATCTGAAAATTAAAACTAATTTGCCTCATAAAATTAGAAAAAGAGGAGTAAAGTAAACCCAAAGAAAATCAAAGAAAAGAAATTAAAAAGACAAATAAAATTAATAAGGCTCTGGCAAGACTGATTAAGAAACAAAAAGGGGAGGTGAGGGAAAGGAGGAGATATTGGTCAAAGAGTACAAACTTCCAGTTATAAGAAGAATAAGTTCTGGGGATCTAATGGACAGCATAGTGATTTTAGTTAATAATACTATATTATATACTTGAAAGTTGCTAAGAGAGTAAATCGTAAATGGTCTCACCACAAAAAAGAAATGGTAATTATGTGACATAATGCAGGTTATTCTATGGTGTAATCATTTTGCAGTATATAAGTACATCAAATCAACATGTACGCCTTAAATTTACACAATGTTATATGACAATTATATCTCAATAAGGCTGGGGAAAAAGAGAAACAAAGAAAGAAGCCACACATAATAATAAGAGAAACAAAAAAGGGGGATATCACTACATACCCTGCGGACTTTAAAAATGTAAGGGAATACTATGAATAACTTGACATCCTTTTGACCGATTCTCTTCTTAATCACCCAGTCTCATGCCTACCTCTATGCACTATTGAAACTGCTCTCTTGAGTCACTGGGGCCACAATCCGATGACTTTTTCTCATTCCTCAACTCTCTTGATCTCTGTGTGCTACCAACCACCCGTTCCACGTCAGCATTTCCTTCTCGTTTCACTCTCTTAGCTCTATCTTCCTCCTCTTCTATTTCCATCACTGTTTCTTCTTTCCCCAACCCCAACCGTGCTCCTCCATGGTGGATCCCTAGAAATTAATACAGTACTTCCTCCCATCTTCTCTCTTTCTGCTCATTTTCTAGGGAAGATTCTTCAGCATGGCTTCAGTCGTTTCAGTAGAGATAATTAATAAATTAATGGTTCTAGCCAGACTTTTCACTACAAGGTCTACAGGACAGACAGAAAATGTACAGAGAAGAACAGAGTGTCAAGGTTCAAGAACAACTGATGACAAGCAGTCATCAGGGTGCCACCATGTGCTGGGTCTTTCTGTTTTAAATGTGCTACAGATACATCTCTGTATTTACCTACCTCTTATAGAGCATGGTTAGCCAATTCATAATCAGTTCATTTTAAGATACAGAAAATTTAATCAAGAGCCTGGTACTTTTGTTCAACGTGTACCTCATAGGGATCTATGCCTGGGAACACAAAACTGAAGAGGCTGGGCTCCATAATGCTATGGTCCATTCTTCACCCAGTGAGAGCCATTAAGCTGCCTTCAGCTTCTATGAAGCATAAATAGACCCTTTTGAAAATCGAATAGAAGTCATGGACCATCTCCTCAGAAAAATGAACAACTCACAGAATTTCGCGTGTGAATTTAGATTAGGGACCTCAGTTAAGAAGGCACCTTTATAGGAGGCATACTGATCAATGTTTTGTACTGAATCACGCACTCATATTCTCAACTTGTTTCCCAACTCCATATAGTACTTCTTGTATTTCAATATAAAATGTTTCTTATATCCAGTTAGAAAACGGCAAGGATCTGAACAGATATTTTTCCAAAGAAAATATATAAATGGCCAATAAGCACAGGAACAGATGTTCAACATCAGTAGCCACCAGGGAAATGCAAATCAAAACAACAATAAGATAGCACTTCATACCCACTGGGATGGCTATAATGAAAAAGACAGATAATAACAAGTGTTGGTGAGGATGTGGATAAACTAGAACCCTCATACACTGCTGGTGGGAATGCAAAATGGTACAGCGCTTTGGAAAACAATGTAGCAGTTCCTTAAAAGGCTAAACAGAGAGTTACCTTAACACGCAGCAATTCCACTCCTAGGTATATACACAAGAAAAATGAAAACTTATGTCCACACAACAACTTGTACACAGATGTTCGTATCAGTATTATTCACAGCCCCCAAATGGAAGCAACCCACATATTCATCAATAGATAAATAAACAAAATGTGATGTATCCACACAATGAAATATTATTCAGCAGTAAAAAAGAGATGAAGTACTGATGCATGCTACAACATGGATAAAACTTGAAAACACTGTGCTGGGCCGGCCCCGTGGCTTAGTGGTTAAGTGCGCGCACTCCGCTACTGGCATCCCAGGTTCGGATCCTGGGCGCGCACCAACGCACTGCTTCTCTGGCCATGCTGAGGCCACGTCCCACGTACAGCAACTAGAAGGATGTGCAACTATGACATACAACTATCTACTGGGGCTTTGGGGAAAAAAAAAAAAAAGAGGGAGGATTGGCAATAGATGTTAGCTCAGAGCTAGTCTTCCTCAGCCAAAAGAGGAAGATTAGCACGGATGTTAGCTCAAGGCTGATCTTCCTCAAAAAAAAAAAAAAAAAGAAAACACTGTGCTAAGTGAAAGAGGCCAGTCATAAGGACCACGTATTATATGATCTCATTTATATGAAATGTCCAGAATAGGCAAATCCATATATACAGAAAGTAGATTGGTGGTTGCCTAGGGCTGGAGGGGAATTGGTGGTTTGAGGGGATGACAGCTAATGGGTATAGGGTTTCTTTTTGGAGTGATGAAAACATTCTAAATTGATCGTGGTGATGGTTACACAACTCCATGGATAGACTAAAAACCAGTGAATTGTACACTTCAAATGGGTGAATTGTATGGTATGTGAATTATATCTCAATAAAGCTGTTACAAAACTGTATCTTATATAAAATATATATTTATATATATATACATACTATATATATAAGATATATATATATACATACTATATATATATATACTAAAAAAATTCATAAATTGGACATCATCAAAATGCCAACTTCCTGCTCCTCAAAAGACATCATTTAGGAAAGAAAAAGCAAGCCACGGACTGCGAGAAAATATTTGTAATATATACATCTGACAAAGGACTTGTATCCAGAATATATAAAGAAAAAAATGGTAAGAAGATAAACAACTCAATTATAAATGGGCAAACATATACATCTAAGGTAACTATAAGCAAATATAACAGGACGCTTGTCAGCTTGCTCTGAATGTGAAAAGGCTATAACGCTGAAAAGGGCCACTGCAGATACCTGATCTGGATGCGGGCAGAATGGGAGATGACATGAAAATATCAGTAACTGTTAAAATTATCAGAATAGCTATTAATGCCCAAATAAATTGTAAAGACTTTTGCAATGGTGTGTTAGCAAATGATCCTTCACACAAAATAGCTTTTGAAAAGGTGAAGGAGATATATGAGAGAGAAGGCCTGAGTATGTACACAAGTTACATGGTTCTAATGCAAACTATTGGAACACTTTATCAGGACTAGACATGTCAGGTCTGTAGAACAAAAATCCAATAGCTGGCCATCAAACTGCCAAATAGTGTAGATAAAACACAGATTTTCAACACACACAAGACACTCAAGCAACTCTGCCACCCCACCCCCACCTCCAGACGCTTCTGCCAAAAAACCCCGAAAATGAGTGGAAAATTTGTAGCCATAAATGCAAAATTCTGTACACTGATAGAGTTTTTTCCCTTGAAAAAAGAGAAAAAGGCAGAAGGGGGAAAATATCCAGAAACTAATGCTACACTAATATTCACAGTTGAGATGGTGAGTGGTATCAATCAAAAGACTTTGATTCATAAAATTCAAATCAAAAAACTGTACTGGTCAACAGGACCCAGCTAAAAGCATGCTGATTCATGAGTCTATTTCCCTAAGTAAGACAGAGCAGTTGAGCCAACAGTAGTTAGACACCATTTCCTTCCTCTGCATATGTCTTAAGGGGTCATAAGCCATTGAGAGCTAATCCTTTGGCTTCTAATGTGATAGCCTTGGGTCACTGCCGTGAAATCTGGCAGTGAAAATCTGGTTTGGCTGTAATGGGCAGAAGTGGGAACAGGCACTATAGAGTTCTGAGCTCTGGACACAGATGGGGCTCCTCTGGCTGGCATTGGATCTATCAAGGCAGAACGACATCCTAAGAACCGACCTCACCCTTTGGCTCTCTCTAGGACAGGAAAGACAGTGACTCATGCAACTGAGCCATGGTCCAAGAGGAACCACCAACATACAACTCATCCATTCAACTACTGAACAAACATATATTGAGAGTTTACTCCACATCAGTCTCTGGGCTAAGCACCAGGGATACAACGATTAATAAAATAGATTCAGTCTTGAGGGAGGAAGACAGACATTAAACAAATTGCTACACAGTATCCAGGTGATTACAAGTGTGATAAATGTTACTTAGCTCCAGTTGCCTGTTGTCACACGGGAATCCGGAGATGATAACGAAGAAGGCCTGAGGACCAAAGCTGACTATGAATGAACTTTCTTCCATTTTTCTTAGAAAATGGAAGAAACCAGAGGGTCAGAATGGGGTCCTAAGGTCAGATCAATGACCAGTACGAACTTGTTCACACCACCAAAGGGAAGCATGCCATGCGGTGCCATTAAAGGCTGCTCAAGTCTTTGGATACTGAGCCTGGCAGTGAGGACTACTCACAACTGGATAATTGAGGATAAACAAATACATGCTATAAACCCCAAGAACACACATACACTAATGCACAAACCAGAAACCTTGTCTCTCTCTCATACACACACACTAACTCATGTACATCTATATATGTACAACACACCATCACAACCGTAACTCACACTCCCAGCCTCACACTTCCAAAGGTGTAAACACACATCACACCAATATATATACACAGGCCACCATACCAGGCTGGCTGATGCTCCACTCCTCACTTTCTGGGGTGCTAGCGGTGGGCTGTCCCTCTGGATCTTTTCCTTCTTCTTGCTTCTCCTGTGGAAGGAAAGTCTGATGCCAGCTTCCTGTCCTCATGGCTCAGGGTGCAGCGCCAGCCTCTATTCCTGTCCCCTGCCTGGCTCTCTGGTCACATGGTGCTCTGCCCTAAACGGTGGAATTTCTTCTAGGCCACCAGCAGGAACAGAGATCCAGCAGACAACCCCCTACCACTTGGTCACAGACTCACATGAGTATACGCCCCCTAGTTACACAGCTTGACAGGTGGGGAAGCTGAGGGCACAAATACCTGCCGTGTGCTGATTTGACCTGCTCACTGGAACTGTCATGCTCCATCTCTTCCAGCTTCTCTGCAACTAGAGCCCTGTGCTCCCTGGCCTCTGGTCTAGTGACTGGGCTCCAGTGATGGAGCTTTCCATCTGCCTGCACATCTCCTCTGGTGCCGGTTGATGTGAATGGGACTTAGTCCTGACACTAGACTGAGAGAGGAGCTCCAGAAAAGCAGGAGAGTAATTTATTCATTTCCCCCCAACCAAGTACAGGACCTGACTCTGGGACTCCAAAATATGAGTTATTAGACGCCTTCTCTGGCCCAGCCTCATGACCTGGATTAACCGAGGGGATAGTGGGAATTGAGGTATAGCCTCCAGCCTTCCCTTCCCTCCCCCTGCCCTCTTCCTACCGTGGCCTCTGGCTCGGACTCCTCCTCTGATGGGCTCTGGTATTCCCTGCGCTTCCTCTTCTTCATGGGTTTGAGGAGCTCAGAGGCGCTGGCACAGGCGGAGTTCTGGCCTGAGGAGTTCTCCACTATGACTGACCTGAGGGAGGAGCAGCCTGAGGGGAAGAACAGCCTCCCTACACCCCCCAGCCCCTGTCCTGAGCCCTGAACAGGAATGGGGCTTTGGGGCCTGAAGGCAGAGCAAGTAGGGCTGCCCTCCCTCCCCCTTACCGCTCCTGGTAGAGCTGGGGGCAGCCATCACTGGAGGAACCAGCATCGGGACCGGCGCCTTGCTGAGGCCCGCAAGCCTGGCACTGACAGGTGCCATCATCCTCTGGAGGGTCTTGAGGGGGATCTTCTGGAGGGTCCTGGGGGAGGTCCGCTGGAGGGCCAAAGGGGCCTCAGGCCTCCCACCCCATCAAAGCCACGCCCAGGCTCCGCCCACACTGGAGCCCACGCCCCCTCAGGCCCGGCCTCACCTTGGGCCCACCTCCTCAGTCCCTTCTCCACCTGAGGACCAACTCCTGGGCACACCTGCAGAACTCGGGCCACGCCCCTCTGGCCGCGCCCCCGACCCAGGCTCCTCCGGGAGCTCAGGCCTCGCTCCACCTGCGCAGGGACCCAGCTCGGGGCCCGGGGCTCTTACCAGGCTGCTGGGTGTCCGAATCGCCACCTCCCGCCGGGGCCACGCCCTCCCGCCGCAACTCGGGGCTCGGGGGCTGCTCCGCTCCCACCATTTTCAGCGGCGCGTACTCGCTTATCCGGAACTGGAGCGCGGGAGGGTCTGAGGACTGCGACTCCAGCACCGGCCCCTGACCCACCCCCAGTGGACACGCTGCCCGCCTCCCCCCCCGCCTTACTCCAAGCCAGGCCCCCAGCAGCCTGCAGGACTCCGCCCCTGGGTGCCCACCTCAAGCCACGTCCTCAGACACCCGCGGGCCTCGGCCCTAGGGCGCCTCACTCCAAGCCACGCCCCTAAAGCCCATTCCCCACAAACCACTCCCCTAAAGCCCTGTCCTCAGAGCGCCTCTCAAGCCACGCCCCCAGAGCCCATTCCCCACAAACCACGCCCCTAAAGCCTCTGTCCTCAGAGCGCCCCTCTCCAAGCCACACCCCCAAAGCCCATTCCCCACAAACCACGCCCCTAAGGCCCCGTCCTCAGCGAGCCCCTCTCCAGGCCGCTCCCCTAGTCTCTCACTCAAAGCCCCACCCCCAGAGTCCTCCACCTCGGCCGGCATCCCCCACCCTCCGCCTCAGACCCCGCCTCCGGGCCCGCAGGCCCCGCCCCACAGCCGCGGCTCGCTGGGCCCCGCCAATCCCCACAGACACTGACCCGCAGGCCGCTCCCAGGAGGCGGGGCCGCGGCCTCCGTCCACTCCAGGAGCCGCACTGCGCTGGCGCTGGAGCTGGCCGCCGGCCCGGCGCTTAACTGCGGCAGAACGGTGGCCGTGACAGGTACGCTGCCGGCCATTCGCTCCGGAGCGCCCACATGGATCGGCTCCCGCGGAAAGCAGGACACCTCCAGGGCACTGCTGGACAGGCCAAGGGTGGCTGTGCTGGCTGCGAACAGATACATGGACAGACACGAAACAGGTGAGACTGGTGGCCCTGCCCCGATCCTGCCATGTAGGTAAAAAGTATCATGTTCTCCCCAGGATCCACACCTGCTTCGGCAGGTATGGGGGATGCTCCTCCTCCCAGACCCCTGGCTTGACCCACCTGGGATGATGAAGGCAGTAGCAGGCAGATGAGGGCCGGAACCCGGGCTGTCTCTGGGCACGAGGTGCACGCTGACCTCCCCTGTGGAGGGCCCCTTCAGTGTCCTCAGCATCTCCATTTCAGCATGCCCCTCCATCCTGGTAGGCCTACAAGCGGCACACAGTCACCAAGGCAATCAGGGAGGGAGGGAGCTTCTTTAAGGAGGAGCTGCCCACCCTCAGAGAAAAGCCTCAGGCCGGAAGGGAGTAGGGTGTCTTAGCAGACCAGGATCAAGTCTGGCTACTAGCTGTAACCAGGTCACCCAGGTGAAGGCTCTGGCCAGGCCCTGCACCTCCCCCAGTTTCTGTAAGATGAGCATGTGTGAGGGTGCTTTGTAATCTGTGACATACAGAACTGACTCCCAGGAGTATGTCTCAGGCCAAAGTTCTCTCTGGCCAGCTGTCCTCATCACATACCTCAGGCCAAGGCCAAATTCCCCTCTTTCCTGACCCTCACCTCTACTCCCATTGGAATCACTCTCTTCTCCCTCTGGGGATTCAGAGCCCTTGAGTACCAGGTTCTCCCTCACTCATACAGGTTCATCTTCCTGGGAGGAGATCTTTCCTGATCCCACTCCCTCCAACTCCAAGCACAGAGTGGGCACCCAAACATCTGTTGAACAAATGCATGCATTTGCAGAGCAAAGAGGTGGTGCATGAGAACCCAGGCAGTGCATGATTTCCCTTTAATAAAGCAAGGGCGGTGGAAGCATTTAATCAATAGTTGGTTGAACAGGTAAATATATGAAAAAAAAAGACCTAGTGCCACAACAAATATACTTAATAGCTATCATTACTTAACTCCTAAAATGTGTTGGCCACTGTCCTAGATGCCCTACCAGCACTATCCAGTAGAATTTTCTATGATGATGGAAATGTCCTATGCCTACACCATCCAACACAGTAGCCACTAGCCACATGTAGTTACTGAGCACTTGAAATGTGGCTAGTGTGACTGAGAAACTGAATTTTTAATCTTATTTAACTTAAATGTAAATAGCCACAGTGGCCATAGTTATTGTATTGGACAGCACAACTTTATATATATTATAATTGGCCTGTCGACTCTACCTCCAAAACACATCTCAAAGTCCAACCACTTCTCTCCATCTCCATTGCCACCATGCTGGTCCCAACCACTATCAGTTTTCCTTGGACTTTGCCATCAGAAATTGACCATCAGAAATTGCCTCCCAACCCATCTCCCTTCTTCCTCTCCTGCCATCTACAGTCTATTCTCCAATAAGAGAAAGCTTTAAAAATGTAAACCAAATCACATAATTTCTCTATCTAAAATCCTTCAATGGCCCTCCATTGCCCTTAGAATAAAATCAAAGTGCTTCACCCTATAAAATGTGCCCTCTATCTTCCTCTCTGACCTCATCCTCCATCACTCTTCCCTTGTTCTCCACCCTCCACAGACTCTGGTTTCCTTCTATTGCTTGACAGACATTCCCATCTCAGAGCCTTTGCCCTTGCTGTTCCTTCCTCCTGGAATGCTCTTCCCCAAGCTCTCTGCTTGGCTGCCTCCTTCCCATCTTTCAGGCCTCAGCTTAGTGGTCACCTCCTCAGAAGAGGTCTTTCCTGACCACTCAGTTTAAAGTAGCACACCCCTCACCCCCTCCCACTACTGCTTATCTCATTACTGTGTTTATTTCTTTCACGTCCTTCATTATAATCAATAATGATCTTCATTTATTTATTTGTGTGTGATCAGTCATCCCCATATAAATCTAAGTTCCACGAGGGCAAAGCCTTTATCTGTCTTGTGCACTGCTTATCTCCAGCACTTAGAATGGTGCCTGGCACACAGTAGGTGCTCAATAAGTATTTGTGTTGGATTTCAGTACTTTCAACTTGTTAATAAAAAGCACTGTATGAGTGATTGACACTTGGTTGTTTAAAGTGTTAGCAGTACTTGGCAATGGCTTCTGGCATGCAGGTAAAAGGAAAGAACGTGGGCCTAGGCTTAAGACAGAGTTAGGACACTTTGAATCTCAGCTCCACCACTTAATACCTGTGACTATGAGTAAGTAGCTTACCCTCTCTGAGCCTCAGTTTCCTCATGTGTAAAATGAATGTGGTAATGGTATCTACCTCAAAGGGCTTTGGTGAAGAGTAAATGAAAAAATATGTAAAGTCTTGATACCAGCAGGCCTTCAACAAATACCAATCCACTCCCTTTTAACAGAAATTCCAGGGAGCTTGGTAGCTTCTGGCCAGTAACATCTCAGCTGCTTGCTTGCAATGGTTGCTGTCTCTCCCACCCTCCCTCCTGCTGGTGAAAAAATTCACTTATTTTCCAGTTTTTCTTCCCTAAAATAGGGTCCATCCTCTATATTATAGAGTGTATACTCAGGTAGGCAAAGGCGAGATATAGAACCTGATTAATTAAGGCAACATGCAAACCAAGGTTTGTTTTCCTTTTTTTTTTTTAAATTATAAAATAGAATTCCCTGCATTTCAATTCCAATTATTTTGCTTTGCACAGCTGAAGTACTTGCACCATTTTTAGTTCTTTTAAAGAGAGTCAATCTTTTTACTTAAAACACTGGGGTCTTTTAAGGGTACTCCTTTAAGGGTACTCCAATGTGGGTACTCCTGAAAGAATTCCATTGTTGTAAAACCTATCACATGTCTCAGGTGTGTCCAGGAAGAGTGGCTGAGAGGACTGCCCTTCTGTTCAGCTGTGCTGCCCTTTGTTCCACACACACTGGAGGGCCGACTTGGGGTCAGAGCCATTCTGTGCTCTGGGAATTCAGTCTCAAATAAGACCAAGAGCTCTCATGAAGCTTATGTTCTAGAAATAAGGGATAAGGGTGAGGCTGGAGATATAAATTTGAAAACCATCCCATATAGATGGCATTGAAAACCACAGGACTGAGTACAAACAAAAAGCCAGGAGCCTTGGAGCTCACCAAGATTTATAGTTGGGAAGAGGAAGAAGATCTAGCAAAAGAGACTTAGAAGGAACCTGCAAAGAGGTGAGAGGGAATCCAGAAGAGTCTGGGCTTCTGGAGGACACATGAGGAAAGTTTTCAGGAAGGTGGGACTTCTCAATGGTGTTAAATGGCATGGACACATCTAGTCAGATAAAGAGAGCTGACCATTTTAGCAATATGAGGTCATCAGAAACCTTGACAAGAGCCCTTTCAGAAGAGCTGTGGACACAGAAACCTGATCAGTGTGGGTTCCAGAGAGAAATCATTGATTAGTCCAATATTTATTGAGCACTTGTGATGTGCCAGGCATGGTTCTAGATTACGCAGATTTGTCAGTGACCAAAACAGACAAAAACTTCTGCCATGGAGTCTACATTCTGGTGGCAAGACTGACAAGAAGGATTGGTCTTCATAGGAGAATGGGAGAAACAAAAAGTGGAAACAGTGGGATGAACAACTCTTTCAAGGAGCTGTGATGTGAAGGGGAGCATGGAAATGGGGGATGGTATTTGGAGAGTAAGGTGGTCTCAAGGAAGGGTTTTTTAGTTGTTTTTTTTTTAATTTTTTTTTCTCATGATGAGAACTTTTTTTTTTTTTTTTTTGGTAAGGAAGATTTTCGCTGAGCTACATCTGTGCCAATCTTCCTCTATTTTGTGTGTAGGACACTGCCACAGCATGGCTTGATGAGCAGTGTGTAGGTCCGTGCTCCGGATCTGAACCCACGGCCTGGGGCCACTGAACTGGAGCACGAGAACTTAACTGCTATGCTATGGGGCTGGCCACTGGTTTTGTTTTTTTAAATAGGAGGTGTCACAACATGTTTGTAGCTGATGAAAATGAGCCTATAGAGAGGAACAAACTGACAGTGCAGGGGAAAAAAGAGTAATTGTAGAAGACAAGTCCTTGAATATGCAGGAGGGGAGAGGATCCAGTGCACATGTGATGTTGGGACTCATCACATACGGTTGTGGGCTCCTGGCTAGCAGCACCTACCGTTTCTGTGTTCTTTCTCCCCAACTAGACCCTTAGCTTTCCTGAGGCCTGGAACTGCCTTCTCTGTGATTTGAATTCTCCCCTTCTCTACCACTATCACCTGCCATATTTGTGGCTCACACAGCATTTTCATAAGCATTGTCCCACTAGGTCCACACAACAGCATGACCAGTCTGAGATAGCTCCCAGGCCTGAGCTGGGTGAAGGGACCCATCCACTCCTACCCCTGCAGCCTGGTCACACCTTTAGAATGCCACTTCTGTGGGCTCTACACATTCTGTTCCTTCTGTTTGGTACCTTTCCACATCCCATATATCTGGAAAATTTTCAATCATCCTTCAAGATCCAGCTTCAGTGACACCTCTTCTATGAAGCCTTCCTAGAATCAACCCTCAAAAGAAAGTTAATCACTCCCTCTACTGTGCTCCACTCCACCACAATCTATGCATTAACTTGTCTGTCTCCCCCAGAGACCAGAACAAAGCACCTGGCATGCAAAGAGCCTGATCCAGAGATTGCACTGACAGTCACTGAATGAATGAATCAGAGAGCTGGGAGTAAAGAGTGGTCAATAATATATGGAGAAGAAACAAATAGTACTGAAAGTCATAAACGGCTTAGCCATTCTTGCCTTAGGTACTAGAATACTACTGTTTCCTCCTGTGCCGCTCAGAGGCTGGGGGAGGAGGGTAGAAAGTGGGAGGTCCCGGCCGCTGTGAAGGTTGTCATTGGCAGTCCTCAGCTGTCAGCTTCTCTCGGAATTGCCCTCAGCCAGAAGAGCTGCCTCGCCCAAGTGCCCTCTCCTGGAAGCAGCCATCTGTTGACTAGTCGATACGGGGCATAAAGGCCCCGACCCCTTGCCTCGATTTGGGCCATCTCTGCAGGGCCATCTCAGCTCCAGAGCTTCCCTTGGGACAGGCTGAGGGCTCTGTTGAGACTACACGAGCAGTTCAGCTTCTTCCTCTGCCCTACCTCCCTGCTGTCTTCACTCCCCTACGGGTGATGCTCCCAAGGGCACTCCAATAAACCTACACTCACGTCTCCCTCTCAGTCTGTTTCCAGGGTACCCGACCTAAAACAACCCTTGGATCCTCCGCCCAGAGCAGTGTCTGGCACATAGCAGATGCTCAATAAATATTTATTGACTGAATGCACCCATGTTTATTTTCTCTCGGCCTGTCGGCCAAGGTTCCCCCCACCCTTTGCCCTTCAAGGCCTCGTATACAACAGACGCTCAATAAATGCCCTCTTTCTAGGTGTTGGGGGTGGCAAGCTAGCGCCCCAGACAGACACACCCGACACCCCGAACACACCCTCAGAGCCCCAGAGAGACTGAGCGCCACAAACTTGGGGCCTCGGCCCCGCCCCCTGCCGCAGGTGCGGCGGGAACCCCGGAGGGCGTGGAAGCCGGTTCCAGGGTCGGGACCCGCCGCCCGCTCCCGAGTCCTCCCGGGACTAGTGTAGACGGCAGCGGGCGGGGCGGTCACGGATCCGTCAGCCTCGCAGAACGGTTACTTTTCAAAACGCCAAAATGGCGGAATTCTTTTTATTCTTTCCCTTTACTGCAAAAGAAAAAAAAAAAATCCACTTTTCCGTTATAAAAATCGGAAATTAACGGTAGAAAAGAGAAAGTTTGCCAAATGACCCATTTCCTAAGAAAACCGCCCTCTACACCCTCTTTTCCATTAACAAAAAACTCTTAATTGACTGCATTTCTTTAAAATCGAAGCCTCCTCCCTCCCCCCTCCCACCCCCGATCGCGGCCACCAGCAG